AGAGACCCCCACACACATTGTAGTCCCCAGCCTCTGTATATTTCTCTGGTGGTCCTGTGAGTCTGTTCTGCACCTCTGCCAGATGCAGGCAGTTTTGGTTTCTCCCGCAAGCTCCGGTGTTTAGAGAGTTGCTGCCAATTACCATGGCAATGCTCTCAACAGCCAGAGCTCATGTTCCTCCACTCAGAGTTAAAATACTTTCGGCAGTTTAACACTGAATGAGGGTCTATGGCTTCTCATAGCTCCGCCACCACTGGAGGCAAGATTACACTCTTCCTTGTAGCCATACCAATTCACACCTGCAATGGCACTGTGATAGGCTGAATGCGGTCAGATGACAATCTTGTTATATCTTTGCAAGCCCTCCCCTTCTAACTCCGCCAAGACTTTGTTTGGCTGTCCAATCACAGACTTCCTAGTGCAGCTCAATGAGAAGTCTTTGCAAGTCAGGTTCTCTGGGCAATTGTTGCCTCTTGAGTTTAGCTTCACTGAGCTAAACAACCAGGAAGTAAGAAGACCGGTTGTCCGATTGGCCCTCAGGAGGTCCAACAATGCTAATTTATAAAAGTACCAATTACTATTGATATCTGCACTTTTTTTTTTTTTTTACAAAGAGGACACAAGCAAAAGCAAGCTAAAATGCTTAAAGGGACACTGTAGGCAGTTCATTGAAGTAGTCTGGGTGCTGTGTCCCTTTTGCACCTAGTGCTGCAGTGTAAAACATTGAAATGTTTGCATTGCAGCTCTAAGTCTGCCTTCTGTGGCTGTTTACCAGGCAGCCACTGGGGATGCTTCTGGAATTGTAACAGACTTTTGGTCCGTTATCAGACACTGGACGTCCTCACGCTCTGCATGCGTATCAGACCAGCTCGTTGCGGGACGGGAGAGGGAGCGAAGCTTCGACACAGTGCCGGGGGACATCAGCGCTGGGATAAGTTAAGTAAATAAAGGGTTTCTAACCCTTTATTAACTGGGTAGGAGGGGGCGCGAGGGAGGGGGGAGGCAGAGGGATCGGTAGTGCCAGGAATACAGCTTTGTATTCCTGGCACTACAGTATCCCTTTAAGGACCTGGAGTGTCCCTTTTATATACACCAAAAGAAGGATGAGATAATGACACTAATTATTTCTGCCAGTTTTATAGATAGAATACGTTCTGGAGGAGAATTTCCTTTTGGAACAGGAGGAGCAGCTATAGATTTGTAGTGTCTTAAAGGGAATAGTTGTTTTCTTTTTTCCCCAAATTGAAAATTGAACAAAATCCACATGAGCAACAACTTCAATTAAATAAGATGTTTTTTTTCCTAAAGCAAACAAGTTCTAAATGAATTACATGGAGCTATTTTGGGTTCAGTTTACATTTCTGGAGCTGATAGTGTTAGAGGTAGATTAACGATAGGGTCACTAAATGTGGGACTATACGAAACCTCGGCAAACATGAGTTTTTATTGTAGTGTGTAAACATAGATCTCTTATACGTATCAGTTTTCCACCTGTTCTTAACCACTTCTGTATTGCTTTGCCCATGTTTGTTTCACTCTTTTCTAATGCCACAAAGAATGTTGGACATTGGAGCATGACTTTATTTACATTTGTGATCATACAAGGAAGGTGTCTGAGGCTTCTATTAAAGCAGTTTGTTGTATCTGTGGAATTGCTCAGATTAATATTTGTGGAGGTCTAAGATAGTGGCACAGAGTTCCAGATACTTTTGCCCAGTGATATCTGTGTTTAGGGGTGCAGTCTACATTTGGAGGTAATCCTATCCTTCTTTACTGAAAGAGGAAGAGATCTCTTCTAGATAATAAGCTCCTAATGTGCCTCCTCCATGGCTTTAATAGCACAGATATCACAAAAATAAAAACATAAAAATATCTATTACGTCAACATTTAAACAGATTTAATCGTATTCTTGTTATGAACTACTGTAACTTGAGATCACTAGTCCGAATAGCAAATACATCAAAGTTTAGAAGATTGTTCTATATTATTATTGCCATTTATATGGCGCCAACAGATTCTGTAGCGCTTTATAATATTATGAGAGGGGGGGGGATTTAACTATAAATAGGAAAATTACAAGAAACTTACAAGAACGATAGGTTGAAGAGGACCCTGCTCAAACGAGCTTACAGTCTATAGGAGGTGGGGTATAGAACACATTAGGACAGGAAATCGCAATCAAATAACGTGGGAGTGAAGCGGAGCTGGAGGAGAGAGTAGAGTTCTGCCCATAAGGAGAGAGCAAGAGACAGGTATGTGAGTTAGAGGTTACTCTGGGAGGCCATAAGCTTTCCTAAAGAGATGGGTTTTAAGGCATTTCTTAAATGATTGAAGACTAGAGGAGAGTCTGATGCCGGTAGGCAGGCTATTCCATAGGAAGGGAGCCACCTGCGAGAAGTCCTACAAGCGTGAGTTGGCCGTGCGGATGCGAGCAGCGGGCAGGTTAGGGTCATGGGCTGAGCGGAGAGACCGAGAAGGGGCATACCTATGGATCTGTGAAGAGATTTGAGGGGCTAGAATTGGTCAATGCTTTATAGGTATGGATTAGCACTTTGAATTGACAACTATAGGATACAGGAAGCCAATGTAAGGACTGACAGATGGGTGAGGTGTGAGAGGATTGACTAGAGAGGAAAATCATCTGGCGGCAGCATTCATTACAGACTGTAGAGGGGCAATACGGTTTTTGGGAAGACCAATTAGGAAAGGGTAAAAATAATCCATGCAGGAAATTACAGGACCATCGACAAGATCCTTGGTAGCTTCTTGCATAAGAAAGGGGTGGGTGAGAGCTATGTTAACATCTCAACTTTTTTCAAGCCATATAGTCTCAGTAAAAATATCTTCTTACAAAACACTCTTAATACTCCTAAATATGACATTATAAATTGATGAACCTGACATACCCTATTAAGTAGAAGTACGTATCAAAGATTTATCAAGAGGTGGCATTCTCTGGCATCCTTCCTAATTGTATTTATACAGTTTATCACGCTATTTGATAAACGTAAAACAGTACGGGTAAAAACCAGCATCATGTTAGCTGTTCCAACATTTGGAATAGATTAGAGTGGGCGAAACGATAACCAACACACTAATTGCCGAGAATTGCTTTGTGAATAGACTAACCTTATTCAAATAGCCAATTTGAATAATTATTCCAGTTGGACTATTTTGAACTAAAATTCTTAATTTCCTGGTCATTTCTACATTTACTGGATAAAACCCTTTGTGCCCATGCTGTGGGTTTCACTGCCATTTTGACAACAACAAACATTAAGCTGGAAATGAAATTTAAAGCAAATTTCACAATTTCAAAATATAATTAACCTTGCTTTGGGGGGTGGGGAGGTGGAGGGGGTACCAAATTACCAATCACCTTTCAATAAAGGACTTGTCCTTAAGTGGTTAAAAAAGATTATCAAGAAACATTTTGCATTAGTAGATGTTAATGCTATGTTATAACTGCATTACGTGGATATATAGCTCAGATTAGTCTTTTACAATTCAGTATGTAACTTAACTCAGGTTAGTTGCTTGACAAAGACTGTGTAGGTCGAAACGTTGTGATGGAGTGGCTTCAATAAAATTGCCTTGTTTGTACCTTGGAGTGTCTGGACCTTTCTTCTATTTTGTTATTAACTCATGTTGGGTGACGTGTTAAAGACATTCTATAGGTTTCCATGGTATTAGCATCTATTTTGCCTTGATAAATCTTCCCCAGTCTCAGTGTCAGAATGATAGACATTGTAGCAAACTACAATGACTTCCAGTGGTACCTTGTAACAAATCTGATCTACTAAATTATGTGACAAAAGCGTAAAGCTCTAAGCATTTAGCAACATATGGCTGTGCTGAATTCCAATAAACCAAATAATTTAGACAGGCTGCCCTGTTAATTTAGAAGAGCTGAACTATTTAATGTAGATTCAGAGTGTCCAAACATCTAAACTGTCTAAATATTTTGGCCGTGTAATGTGGGTGTGAAGAAGTTTCACTACCTCATCTGTAAAAGTTTGTCTTTGCTGAGAATGTTATTTTTGTATGTATCACTCAGTATACTGTCGTAAACCGTAGTGGTTGTGGTACATAGAATGTCCCTTTAATTCATTCGGAACATATTTATACTTTGTTACGACTTCAACTAATGAGATTCTAATTTTTTATTTTTTTTTAAGTATTGTAGTAGGTACTATTCACTAGACAAAGAGCGAGCTGTGATAAGTTAAGAGTTAACTTTAACAATTTTGAGATTAATTCAGCCCAACTATTTTAGCCTACATTTTGCGCCACTTTTTAGAGAATAGATCAATGTATATAATTTAAACAACTTCAATGCCATCCTATATCACAGGCCCACATCAGACACGGTTCAGCAAAGCAATACAGATTGAGACTAAAACTCAGACCTAACTACCTATGCTGTTTGTGTGTTATAAAATTACACTTTAATATGTATAACCAAATGTAACCAATACATAAAAAAAAAATTATTTTGCAAAAGGATGGATATACATTACTTTGCCTTGTCGGGTTCCGAATCTTTTGCCTTTCCTTTCCTGAATAAATCCATTATGTCCACATCGAGAGATCCCCTGTATTACAGCATGCTTTCACAGCCGTACCTGAGTACAGTGATGTGTGCACCTGCAGTCAGCAGGATTCTGTCGTACTGCAGTGGGTGTGGTTGTTTAAACAGATAAAAATTCAACTCAAACCCCTGGTCTGAAAGTTAATATTGGCTGAATATAAACCAAAACACTATATCGAACAAAAGAATATGCTTTTTATTGACTAAACATTTATACAGCTATTTCAAAGAGGAATGTAAATAAAGTAAAACACATATTAAATTTCACTTTTATAAGCATGCAAAAACGATTTTAGAGCAGACTGAAAACAGATTACTTGGAGAATTTTTCCATTTAAAATATTACAGCCTAAAATTAGAAATTAATTTTGGTTTCCTAACGATTCACATTTTAGTGGGTAATCCTGACCGATATAGAAACTTCCACTCAAACCCCTTGAATGTTGGCTAAATATAAACTGGAACATTAAGAAACCTTCATAACAAGGTGTTTTTACAAATCCATTTATATAACAACAGTCTTAGCATTGCACTTGGGCATGTGGAAGTCAACAGATCTTTTTAGAAGAAAGCTTCATCTGACATCCTAACTCTGAACAAAGCCTTGCTGTATGAAAATTTGGTTAGAATTTCTCTCAACATTTATTGTGGTCTATCACAGTTTTTTTTTTTTTTGCCTTGGAGATACACAAAGGCTTATTTATCAAAGCAAATTCTGGCCTTAAATTTGAAATTCACTTTGAATTCTCATGTTGGTAAATAACTGACAGGGTTATTCAATAAAGTGAGGATTTAAAGTAAATTTCCAATTTTAGGCCAAGATTGTTGCACTGGAAAAAATCTCTAGGTCAGATATGCTTTCAGCTTGGCTACTCAAGCCTTAGATTTCAAATTTACTTAGAATTCTCAGTAAATAACCTTGACAGACTGCATAGAATTTTGAGAATGTAGCAGAAGTACATGGGACCACAAGTTGATTTGAAATATATCTGCTCATACAGACATTTCCTACTTGTTGTGGTATCACAAAAAAATGTATACAATTATTTATAGAATGCCGACATATTCCATACTGCTGTACAATAGGTAAACAAGACAAGCATTTCATTTTAATAAAACTGTTTGGCAAACGGAAAAAGTAGGAGTAGTGGTATACTAGTGTTAATTTTGGCTGCAAATTTCAATGTAGTTTTAGTCATAGTCGTGGTCCTCATTTTGCGACCTACTTGTTTTATGACGGCTTGCACTTCCGGCCAGCTCTCTTGCGCTGTGGTAAGTGCGAGCCGTCATGGGGATTAGAGGGATTCCCTGCTCTGGTGCGTTCGTCTATGTTCAGGGAAATTTCCCTGAACATAGACGAACGCACCAGAGCAGGGAATCCCTTAACTCCTCACGTACCGACCAATTTGTTCTACAACTGGGTCGTAAAATTGGAACCTGGTCGGTAATTGAGGAGTACCTGTAGTCTTAGTCATCTAAAATGTTTTAGTTGGCTAAATGTAAAAAAATTGTAGTCGACTAAAATTTGACTAAAATTGTTATTCGACAAATTGTAGATCTCGATGAAGAGCGAATGCGATCCACTGGAAACATTTTGGAGCATTTAGTGCATATTTTTGCTTTTTCTGTGCTTATATATTCCAACCTTTTCCTTTTACATTTTCTATCTCCACTGTTGTGCTTTTTGAACTCAAATTCACAGATAACAGCGAGAACTTAGATGGTTGGATAAACTCGTTAACTGCTAGTTAATTATTTAGAATTAAGTAGTTTGCCACATTCACAATAGCCTTGTTTCCCCTTTATAACCAGATCAGTAAGAAAAGGATATTGTAGATAAATGGCCATTGCCAATACCAAGATATAGCTGGGAATTCAGTAAAGTGAGGCAAATATGATACATTTCAGTTGAATGCACGGGGCACATAATTCCAAGTGGCTTTCTCGTCAGTGCCTTCGGCCGAAATTACATTGCAGAGAACAGAGCGAGTGAAACATTTACAAAGTCCATGAAAAGCTTTTATATTAATTCCATCATAGCATAGATCTATCCAACTGTCTAAAGAGACATTCCATTGCATCAGGACTGAAAATAGCAAAGATAGAGAATAGATTTAATTTATTTTCATTTTCTATCTATTCCAGATTGTTCATCATCCTCTTTCAAGATTGCTCAACATCATTTCAGTGGAGTTAATGAAAGTAAGAAGAAGAAAACCTTCCCAACTATCTGATTGGCAGCCACGGATGTGTTTCATAATTTGTTAATAAATTAGGCTATTTTTCTTTTCTAAACTGTTAAATAAGGGATCTTCCTTGCCCCATAAAAGCGACTCATGGGTGTGTTTATTTAAAAAAAAAAAAAATTATATATATATATATATATATATATATATATATATATATATATATTTTGTAAAGCAAAACACTGGCATTTATTTAATGACTATACGAGGTCTGTCCAGAAAAAGCCCAGTCATTGTAGATATAACGAGAATGGCTTGCTTGACATCGATGTAACCTGGCAGCCAAGGAGAGTGAACTCAAATGTGCATGTGAGAACAATAACGACTTCACTGTACTAGTCAGTGGTGGTGCTAAATTCCGTTGAGTGAGTATGTGTACTGTGTGGCCGTCACATTCAGAGTGGCTGAGCAATTAGAGGAATTAATCTCCCTCAAATTTTGTGTTAAGCTTGAACATTCCTCTGCAGAGACTATTTGGACGATTCAGAAGGCTTTCGGGGATGATGCAATAAATGCAGCGCAAATAAAAGTTTGCAACAAACACTTCAAAGATGGTCGAGAATCTGTTGAATGACTTTGAGACCTGCAACTTCTCAAAAACTAAAATCACCTTTTAAAGGGAAAACATTTCAGGCCAGTGATGAGATTCATCATATGACGAGGCAGCTGATGGCGATTCCAACAAAGGATTTTGCAGAGTGTTTTAATCCGTTGAAGAGACACTGGGAGAACCTTGTGAGGTCCCAAGGTGCCTACTTTGAAGGGGTACATATGTACAATGTTTCTTGGATCTTCAATAAATGTCTCTATTTTCCATATTACATGGCTGGAATAATATTAAAGAGAAATAAAACATAATAATCGTAATGTCGATCAGCAACAATTTATTGTAAACAAGTTACATATGTCAATTTAAACACATTTGTACACTGCAATGTACATTATTAACAATTTAATTCTGTATATGAACCATAACAAGTAGTAATACTTTAAATATGCAACATCCAAACTGGATTGAATTAGAGTGGGGAGGGAGCAATGCACATGTAAATACATACGTGTGGTGCAAAGGGGGGGGAGGGGGGGGAGAATCATTCATTTGGCTATAAACCATGTGGATTGGTAAAGAAAGCTAGCTAGAAAATAAACAAGAGGAATGTTTTTTAAAGCATGGAGTTTTCAATCAAGCAAGTTAAACAGAATTCAGGAAAAACTATTGAATTTATAAAGGCATTAATATAAACAGACAAATTGAAAACAAAATACTCAGAAAATGATTAATTTGAAATTTGAGATCATTCTAGACAATGGGTTCAAAAAGATAATATTAATTACTAGAATCAACAAGCTATTTATTTTATTTATACAATATATTTTGTAGCGTTGTAGAAACAAATATGTCAACACAAACTATTTGCATTCCTGCCGTTCTAAACAAAAAAAAAAAAAACTCCATATCTACAAGAACTGCAGGCATAAATCTGGGAATAATGAATATATTAAATCAATAGTTGAAGGCACTACTAGATAACACATTGGACTGAATGGATGTGTGTCCTGAAGAACAGGGTTATAGAAGGGGTGGCCGTAATTAAGTTCCCAGCTGTTGTAAAACATTTTAATTTTAGGGATGCTTTACCAGCTTTCAATCCCTGGGATCTAGATTTAGGACACCTTGTTAGAGTATACTCCATAGATTAAAACGGTTGTCTTCCTTTTAGGTGACACGTGCAAGAGACATGTACACATAAAGTGTTTTAATGCAGTGGACCCTTTATATGCAGCAGTGCAGTATATACCGGTATGTATATTTATATATTTGAAATCTGAATGGTTAGCTAAAATACTCTTTTCAAATGAGCTCCTGTTTCATGTTTAAAGCAGAAGTCAATTATTCCAGATTCCTTTAAACAGGGGTCAGCCTCAGACTCCTAGCAGCGATATTACATAATGGTGGCAGTGCTTTAATTTCTGGAGCACGTTTCTAGAATCAAAATGTGGTCGGGTAAAGGGAACACAAATCTAAAAATAGCGTTCAAGTAGATAACTAACATCTGCGATACAATGGCAGAACAAACCCATTCAAAGTTTTATATACACACCAAAACAAATTAAATCATTTCTAAATCTATAAAAATCACAGCAAGTTGTAATATTTCCATTGGTTGTGGTGATATCCTCAAATTGGTAAAAGGGTATATACAGTTATAGTGCTTTAAAAGACCAGTGTAGTCTAGAGAATAGGAACAAAAAACATATTTAATATAAAGAAAAACACCAACATAAATGGTTCTCATTTTTAAATGTTTACATTGTTTAAACCCTCTGTGTGCCAGTGATATGCCCAAAGTGTAAAGAACTCACCTGGCTATTACTACAGTGGTTTCCACAAATTAGGTTAAGGCAATTTTCTCGCAAATGGGAAGAGAGGGAGAAAAGGTAAGGAGGAGGAGAGAGCAAAATAGGTACAGAGGGGGAGGTAGGGAGAAAGGTGGAAAGAGGGGGAGGTAGGGAGAAAGGTGGAAAGAGGGGGAGGTAGGGAGAAAGGTGGAAAGAGGGGGAGGTAGGGAGAAAAGTGGAAAGAGGGGGAGGTAGGGAGAAAGGTGGGAAAAGGGTGGGGAGAAAAGTGAGAGGAGCAGGGAGTGAGAAAAAAAAAGGGGGTTAGCAAAGAAGGGACAGAGAGAAAAAGAGTATTGAGGAGATAGGGAGAAAGAGAGAGGATGGGGAGAGTGAGAAGGGGGGTGAATGAGGGACGTGAGAGTGCAAGAGAGTGTTACGAAGAAGAGGAAGAATGTAAGAGAGGGAGGGAGAGAGCATGGGATATGCATTTAAACTTACTGAATCTATTTATTAAAAAAATATATTAGCTAATCTATAGAGTTTTGCTTTGTTTTTTGCTCTGATGATGAATGTATAGTATTCTGTCCGCATCAATGAATGATGCCATTTGTTTTTCCTGAGGTAACAATAAAAATAATTTTACGAAATATGCAGGACTTTAACAAGGATTTCATTTTGTGATGGGAGCAAAATATATATTTTTCTTAGTTTGATTATCGTAAATGCATAACAATTAATGGATAAAGGCAGTCTATAGTTCTCCTCGTGGCAATTTTAGATGCAAATACAAAAACAGACAAATACTGAAAGTATCCAGAAAACACACTTGCTTCATTGAACATTAAAACTGTGAGTGATGTGGAGTGAATTGTGCAGAATTCTATATTTTGTATTTATAGTGATGACAGTTCAGGTGTATTTTTTACAATTAAATATCTATGGGCAGAATACAGAATTTTGTTCACAAAATTAAGCTAAAGATCAATCAAAGTAAAAGAAAAATGATTTGGTCCTTGGAATCTAACATGAGATGAGTGGCTAAAAGGGTTTACTACTAAGTGGTTCTCATGTTGATTTAAAAAAAAAAAGTGTGGTTTATAGGTTTTATTCCATTTAACAGAGATTTCTAATTCTCTTATCTACAAAAGGCATTCTAGGAATGTACAAGAAGAGATCGAGAACAACAGTTTTATTACGAGACACGAAAGTGACCGACCACAAGTTCTGGAATTACACTACTATAACGTAACTTACAATATAGCCATAAACACCAACACCAAATTTGCATGGGTTTAAATAAGCCATAAACGATTTTATAGTTGCGGCTGGTCACTTAGTATGTGTGTATCATGCTTCGAGACACGAGCTTGCCCATTCCACTCCGATAGAACACCATTTTGGAAGATCAAGTTCTTTGACGGAAGGGGAACACCAATATCCACTGTGCAAGACTGGGACAGCATGCTAGAAGCACTGGATTCTGATAGATGATCTACGGTGGGGTTGGACTCCTAAGAAAAGCACAGGGAGAAAAGTTAAAATTGAAATGACAGTGAAAGTTTTTGGGCAGTCGGGTCCTAAAATGACTAATCTTAGCAGATGATCATAACCTTAAATTTCAGATGATGGTCTGAAAAACTTTAGTATTAACTCAAATCAACACTGATTGGGTCATGTGAGTGTTCATGCTAATAGTCAATATTGGGGACATTTAATTATAGGAATGTGGATACACATGGGATAAAACAGGATCTAAATTAAAATTAACACAATCTACTCATACTATACAATGCCATATACAACAATATATTTGTTCCTTCCTTCCAATAGTGATGGATACATTTCATCAACACCACTTTAGGAAGATGCAAAATATAAAAAAAAAATTGACACAGCCTACTTTAATTATAGATAAAATAGAAAGGTGAACAGCGCTAAAAATCCGAAAATGTACATACGTTTTGTAGAAATACTGGTCAGCAGAGTAACTTAAAAAAAGAGAGAAACAAAAATACAAATAATGGTACAGTATGTATGAACGATATAATTCCACAAGAACAAAGGTGTTATATTCACACTCACACTTTGAGGAGCTATATCAGCTCGGTGTTAAGAGCCTGGACGGAATAATCTCCGTCTATGGATTTCTTGAGGTTCAAGACCGTTGGTGAATTTATAGGTGTAAATATTCGTTACATGAAAAACAAGAGTAAAATACACCACATGGTATAGTACGTAAATATAAAATATTGTGGGAAAAAAAAAAAAAGTGGATTATCTTCCTCACTTGACGCGTTTCGCCGAAGCTTTCTCAAAAGTTCACTTGATGTGAAGTTCACTTTTGAGAAAGCTTCGGCGAAACGCGTCAAGTGAGGAAGAATTTTGGACTTTTATACAGGACTGGTTTTATAGTTTATTATTCACTTTTCACTTTTTGTATTAAAGTATATATATTTTTTTAAACTATCCAGTCATTCCTTTTGTCCTCCTTCCTATCCAATACTGCTTTGCTGCTATACCTGGGTCCACTATATCCCAAGGTGGGGATTATTCCACCTGAAATTCTCCAGACTAGAGCAGGTCGTTGCTGTAGTATATGTAAGTAGGATCATCCACTTTTTTTTTTTTTAATAATATTTTATATTTACGTACTATACCATGTGGTGTATTTTACTCTTGTTTTTCATGTAACGAATATTTACACCTATAAATTCACCAACGGTCTTGAACCTCAAGAAATCCATAGACGGGGATTATTCCGTCCAGGCTCTTAACACCGAGCTGATATAGCTCCTCAAAGTGTGAGTGTGAATATAACACCTTTGTTCTTGTGGAATTATATCGTTCATACATACTGTACCATTATTTGTATTTTTGTTTCTCTCTTTTTTTAAGTTACTCTGCTGGCCAGTATTTCTACAAAACGTATGTACATTTTCGGATTTTTAGCGCTGTTCACCTTTCTATTTTATCTGTCCATTTATCACAAGGTAGAGGAACACCTTGTTGGTGAACTGCAGCTCACCCCTGAGAAGAGAGCGCTTATTATTCTTTTGCATTTGCTACTTTAATTATATCCATTCTTCAGACCAAAATATAAAAACTGGAAAAATTATCCAATATGTCTATTCAGATTTTAAATGTGCAATTCTCCACAATCCCCAGTTAACGAAGATAGCCCAACTGAGAGACAAACTATGAGCAGCAGGCTTTTCAAGACAGAAGCAATCGTCCAACTTCTGAACCTCTCCAAAATCTAGAATTGGGCCATGCTATCCACTGTAATTAACGGGCTTCTCTTTAAGTGCACCCATAAATACTATATATTGGTTTTTAAAGGACATAATAGTAAGTACACCTAACATAGGTATGAAGAAAATGATAAAAATGGAAGAAAAAACCCACAGATTTGTCTATAATTTGTAGAAATCAAGTGCAACTAAATAAAAATAACTCAAACCAGATTCATCTATCAGTTCTGACTGTTGATTACCTCATATGTGTAGGATCTAGATTAACTTTTGGAAATGGACACTATGCCCCTAAACCCTATACTATACACTAACTCTAACCATTCACTCCCCCTACCTTAACCCAAACATTAACTCTAAACTATCCCTTAACTTAACATAAATCCTAACCCAACACCTACACTACCACCAGGAAATCCTGCCGATCACTATGTCATTGGTACTGGGCAACAGGCCGATCTTTATCAGCAGAGGGAGCATGCTGGGGGGTCCTATTTTGGTCTTTTCAGGGGGGTCTTTCCTCTCATGTTGAGTGTTGCACAGAGCTCATCTGTCAGTCTGGAGACACTAAATATGGCCCCAGCTGACAGACTGATACCTAGGTCTCCCCACTGTGAGCAAAGATTTTTTTTTTTTTTGTCAATGTCTTTATTTCGGTGCAAGCAAAGTACAGAGTATATGTATCAACAGCATACGGTATATTTTACAAACATCCACAAACATGTGCAGTGTAAACGTATAATGTGTGTGAAAGGCACCGTTTTTTTGTTTTCTTTCTCACGATTCAACCTAGGATGCTATAACATGCTGAATAAACAACTTGTCTGAGCTACAGATGGAGCTGGCATAAAGTAAAACGACAGTTATATGTTAAATGCTTTAGGCAGAGTAGATTGTTATAGTAAACATGCTAGTGGTAGTGTGTGTCTGGTCAGATAGTCCCAAGACTAGTATTAGAAAAGTAACATGTGAAGCTGCTATTGCAAGAGTGGCTGTCTAAAATATTTCTAGCTAAGCATGCTAAAATGGACTAACTTAGTGAGGCATATTGCACTGGGGGGATATACAAGAGAAAGTCTTCTGGATCCTGCAAGGGTTCGGTACCACGGTAGTGGTTTACAGTATTGTGCGCCAGACTGCCAGTCCAAGCCGATGCCCACGTGTGGGAAGTTCATGATTGAGGCAGGGAGTTCAATAGAGACCGCGGCACAGTGGGAGCAAGTCGAGACATCCCCCCAGCCCCAGGCCAGCATGCGGGCCAGCATCTTCAAGCCACGGACCTGGAGGCTCAGGGAGACCAAGGTGAGCAAAGATTTAACACTGCTTGCATTAAAAGCAAAGGACATTCATACTTTTAGGACAGTATAGCACATCCTAACATCCCTAAAGGGTTAAAACATATAAAAAATAATATAATATATAAGCATGGAAAGAGTACCTGGAATGATTGAACAAAATTGAGAACTTGAAGAGAAAGTTTCCGACTGGAGTGGAGGAGATACTGAAGGCTGTAAAAACAGTTAAATAATCAGAAATACAGATATGGTCATTATCTTATATATGCAAAAACGAACATTGTGATACTCACATGCAGGTATAATTGTGACAAAGTTACAGATTTAGTGGACTGTACAGTACATATTCATTACATATCTAAAAACCAAGGGATGCTTGAATTGTCTAGTTTTCTTGGTGTGAAATCCCATTTTCTATGTCAAAATGCTAATCCTTAGTAAAAATATCCAGGGCGGCGGAGCTTATAGGGACACTACAGTCACCAAAACAAGTTTAGCTTAATGAAACCGTTTTAGAGTATAGATCATGCCCCTGCAGTCTCACTGCTCAATTCTTTACCATTTAAGAGTTAAACCACTTTGTTTCTGTTTATGCAGTCCTAGCCACACCTCCCCTGGCTGTGACGGACACAGCCTGCATTGGAAAAAAAAAGGTTTCATTTTCAATCAGATGGAACTTACTTTAAAAGTTTGTATCTTCTGCTCTGTAAATTAAACTCTAATTACATACAGGATGCTCCTGTAGAGTCTAGCAAGCTATTAACAGAGCAGGATATAAGAAATTATACATTAAACATAATTTGCAATAAAGGAAGTATAAACGGTAGATGACTCTTTACAGGAAGTGTGTAGGAAGGCTTTGTAGGTCACATACAGGGAGGAGTGCCTAGGGCTGCATAAACAAAGTGATTTAACTCCTAAATGGCAGATAATTGAGCAATGAAACGTAAGGGCATAATCTATACACAATCATTTTTTAATTAAGCAAAAGTTATTTTGTGGCTAGTGTCCCTTTAACCACTGAGCCGCACGGACTCCAATCTCCAGAGCTCTGAGGAGTTGACAATTAATCCGTTGCAATCTGGTGTCATGCTGGGCCAGCTACCGTATTATTGCACTATGGAATATTGTATTTTAATGTAATTTGTGTAGTGCATTAAGGACCTGCTAGCCTGGCAGAGATGGTATTGTCAAGGTTAAAAGGGATTACATCTTTTGAAGCTGGGACCCCCCACCGAGGTCAGATGACAGAAGGGGTAGTTTGAATGACATTGGGATGTGAATTAATCAAGGCTCTGCAAGGTGTGAGGTTCTACACTTGGAAAAAAGTCTGAATGTGTCTCCATCTATTTGGCATGTACCTTTTAAGTGATGAGTCAATCTCTTTTGATAGGTTAATGGCCATTAGCCTTCCAGTATCATATCCAAGAAAAAATATTCATATTTACCCCATAGAATAATAATTAAGCCTCATTTTTGTTATATTTGGAATATGACAAGTGCCATCTTCTAAACAAGCCCAAACATGGGTGGCATGGCTTGACCATGGGGGAGGGAATTATAATGTCCGTCCTATTGGATTACGGGTGGGGCGTGCAACATGTCTATGGGCTGGGAAAATAATACATTCATAGATGCAATTATTATTTCTGTGGCAGGTACATAAGAGAAGATAGGGCAAAATGTTTCCATTTGGATTGACGTTGGTCTGGAACAAAGGAGGTGGTCACTTATTATTTTTATAGATACGCCTTAACTCCACCCCTGAGCAGGACTTGATAATCCACAGGATATAACTACAATGATTTGGAGGGGTGTTGATGTACTTGCTTGGGGCCAAGATCTAATTTTGAGTGAATCACCATCATCCTTTATTGCCAGAGACCCCCTTGGCAGAAGTTTTACTTTGAAAACCTAAGTCCTCACTTCTGTTATTTTATCCTTTTTGTTTTTATCTGTTGTTGGTGTAAATAATTTGTTTATCATATATTTTTGTATGCACTGTGACCGTTTTTTGCTCATAAGAAACATTCATTTATTAAGTTCTGCCTTTGTCTGGTTAAGAATCACGTTATCTGAAGAGACTAATTAGTATTTTGCAATTACATAGATATTCTGCCAAGTAATATTTGGTGGGTTTTTCCTTGTTGACTTACCTGGGGGACCAAGGCACCCCATTTATAAATTGTCTTGATGGTGGCAGCGTTAAAATAGTAATAGTTATATTATTATGTTTACGTGTGGGTGGTGCTAAGGGGGATTTTGTCATTATTTCCGTTCTAGTGCAGACAAATCGTGATCTTTAACCCTTTCACCGCCACAACTACGTCACGTACACTGTTGAAGTAGGGTGTGTTTGTGACAGGAGTGATCACTTGCCCTATCAGCCTTGCATAGAGGGCTACCTGCTGATGCACTTCCTATTTGCCCAGAAGTGCAATAAAATCGGCTACAATACTCAGTCTTCCTCACCGCTACCATCTGCTGGGCCCTCTTAGCTGCCTTCGGAGTAACTCACGGAACTGTCCTGAAACTCACCTCTCTACCCCTCATCATTTACTTTACCGTTAGGACTCCAGCTAAGGCTCGGACTCCGGAGATGCATTCAACTTCCCACACTTGGGACCCAGAAAGAACTGTCCACTTTGTACCCCGAAGCAGAATGAGACAGGAGGCAGTGACCTGAGCTTCTTCTGAGCAATAGATACCATATTTGGTTCTTTCTTGTTTATGTTTATTATATTGTGTTTCTACTCATAATTTGTTTACTATATGCTCTCAGTTATCAGTGGACCCTGCTAGTGGGCCACCACCTACTATATGCACTTTACAGATAATATAATGTACACTATTACTACAAATTTTAAAATAAACAATCCGGATGGTAACACCTGTGAAGCTACTGTTAAAATAGGCGGCTTTCAAACAGCACTAATGATTCACACAGGCAGTGAGTGGTCCATGGAATTTTACCCAATATTTAGGGGGCAAGTGAAAATTCTTAGCTCAACTTCATCCATAAGAACACACACAAATATTCGTTTACATGGATTACCTCTCTTTACCACAGAGTCCATGGGAAGCAATTTTCTTGCATACTGTCCTGTTAAGTTCTGAACTAAACAGCGGGATTCCATAGCACAGATCCAGCGGAACCCAGTCTTTTTCTATAGTTGATACTAAAAAGATATAAAGAAAGCATTAGCGATGATTAAGCAATATCTAAAGCAACATAAAAAATTACCTAAGGTGGTTTATAAATGGGGAGGGGTGTAGTCGAATTGCTGTACTGTGATACTTGAGAACTATTCAACATAAAGTTATTCCTAGACACGTGCAATTCATTTCGGTCTGAATTTAAATTTGAACTAATTTCGGCAATTCGGACATTTGGATGCTTCAGAATGTCCGAATTGCCGAACTGAACCGCCAAAGTCCCAAATTGCCGAAGTTCAGAAGTGCCACGGTGCTTTGGATTTCTGAAAAGTGGCAAAACAGGAAAGGGAGGGAAAATTAACAGAATAATGACCGGAATCTAACCTTCCTCTAACCCTACTCCTACCCCTTACCCCAACCTTCCTCTAACCCTAACCTTACCTCAACCTTCCAATAACCCTAACCCTACCCATAACCCTTGGTAGGGTTATGGTTAGGGCATGACAATGTTCCTAGTTCTATACAGACCCCCACCTCCCCATGCCATAAAAATAAAAGTTTTACTTCCCTTATTCAAGCACCGAGGCTTACTCTGAGCTTCTTACCGTTATACATCCCGCAATGTCATCAAGAAAGCCTTGATGAGAAAGCCTGGCTTCCTCTGCAATGTCCCAATCCTTTAGGAGGAGCCTTGGGGACCTGTTGCGCATGTACAGCAATATATGGGTATGGGTTTATTGCAGAATGTTTTGGGCCTTTAACCTGTTAGCTATGCTTGATATAAAAGCTTTAGCAGGATTCAAATGAATGCAGGAAACTAAACTTTAATGGTGAAAAAGAAAAGAACACATCAGAGGAGTAAGAAACATCAAACAGATAATCAAAGAGACATACTGATTTCAGAAGTTTACAGGTAGAGCAAGGTGCCACAGTCATAAATGACTGGAGACAAGACTTTAATGCTTTCTGTACTTACCTTCATTTGCCTTAATTCCAGAATCCAAAGTTGTTTCTTCTACCACAAGCTCAAATGATTCAGTGCTGCCATTTACATCGGAACTAAAGTCAAGACTAGGTTCATCTGCAAAGAAAAGTTACCATGTTACTGCCAGAAAATGCAATGTTCCAGGCACATAAGAAATAACGAATGCAATAAAGAATGTTATAGTAGATTCACCACATCTTTAGCTGGGAACTCTCTGTCGTGATTAATTATTGTTTATACTCTTGTATACTGCTATGTTTTTTGATTATTTCTGTTTGTATTAGTCCTGCAACTTCTCTCCTGTTCCCCAACTTCCTAACATTCTTTTTAACTGCATTCACGTAGGTGCACAGCCAAACAGGTTAATAGTTTCTTTTTAACCAGATACATTTCTTTACCGGTCTCTTTCTAGCAACAGAGACTTGGCCTCGTGGTTAGCTGGACAGTACATCTTTTAATTTCTACTTACAAGGTTACTCAATTAAGTAAAAGTGTCCAAGCAGGAGCAAGAATCCATGGATTTCTTACCAAAATAGTTTTGTAAAATCTTCACCAAGTGTAAGAACAGAGAGAGTTTTTCATTTCAGATTATATAGAGGATTTTTATATTAGTATTCAGAATCATTAAAAGAAAAATGCTAAGAATGCCTCTGTGAAATGTTTTCAACAGATTCTTCCTACAGATATGTAGTTATAGACTCAAGGAAGGTGGACAGTAGAGAGTTGCCATTAGAATAAAATTAGTGTTTTCACTGCGCTCTAGCACTGGTATTTTATCTACGAACTGAGTGTGCAATAAATTTCCTTATTATCCATTTCTCAATCCTAATGCACCTTTTCCATCAGAAGCATCGCTGAGTCTCCTGTGGCTTTGGTGAATATGGCGACTGGCTGGGTTCAGCATTGTGATGTATCCGCAGAAATGTTCCAGGTCAACTTTCTCTCGTAAGGCTTTTAATGCCTTGTGAACAGCCATATTGGCACTAGAGAATTCTGCAAAACAAAAATAAATTAAATGAATGGTAATCTCTAGTTCTCTGGGACAATATAAGAATAAGGTTATTTTTAGATCTGGAAAGGTCTAGCAGAGCTTATTTTAAAGGAGAAAAAAGTTCCTGCACAAAATACACCAAATACTGCACCTCCTTGTAGTTCTGCTTCATCAAACGGGAATGGCACCTGTAAGGTCTCCCCCATGCCATGCGTGCCGTGACCCTAAATAAAAACACCACCATCATAAAAAATAGCTTGCGCTGGTGAAAACCGGAGAGCACATAGAGAGTACACTTCTGGCTATCAACAGAATCAGATCTCCTATCCTGTGTCCACAGAGCTCTGTGCTGCCGCCATTGATTAAAGAAACTCAGCACCATCATAAAAGGAATGAGTTACTTTCTGGTCTTGGCAGCACTCACTGCAGAAGCTTCAAAACTTGTGGATTTACAGAAAATTCAGGAATATGAAATGTGCATATTTTTAGTCCAATGTAATTTACTGTGTTTGTATATATATTCAGTATATTATTTGATATTACAGAATTGCAAAGAAGGTTAGCATCAGCCTGCAATGCCCCTTTAACCCCTTAAGGATACATGACATGTCATGATTCCCTTTTATTCCAGAAGTTTGGTCCTTAAGGGGTTAAATAAAGAGATTAGGGTCACAATTAAATAGTATATTCCGTGCAGTATACCAGCACCACCAACTAGCGAGGTGCACAGCGTGAGAATGTGAGCTCACCAGCACCCAGAACTCAGCAAATATTGTAAGAGAGGTATTCATAATAAAGAGGGTCCAAGTAGAACATGATCACAAGTAGACTGAAAGCCTTGAAATGAGCCCAATTTTCCCTTAGCTTCAATAAACAGTGAGTCTAGTGTTAAGGATATCCTAGTGGCTTGAATTATAGTTACACCTGTTCACAATTATAATGCATGGTGGTTTTTATTTTTACATGGGAATTTAATAAGAAAATAATTATGGGTATCATAGACTAGGTGGAATGTATTCAGAACATATTTATTGTTTACATTAAAAAAAAAAAAAGCTCTCTGTACTTTGTTTCACTACAGATCACATGTAAATTACAGTGTATGAGTACCTGCTTTATAGAAAAGCTTATTTTGCACATATTACACTTTATATACATAGTGCCTACTAGCACAATTTGCATATGTTTGTACGATCTTTATATTAACTACATGGTTGTTTACTAGCTTGTGGAAGTGAAGGATCAGCCCAAAAAGGAAAAGTCGCTTTACTATGTTCACACATGGATTGTGTGTTTGAATATAATACTGCTTTGTTAAATTTTTCTGCTACACAAAACATTATCAAAAAAGCACAATTTAAGGCTGGGTGTAAACTAAAATTCTGATGAAGCTTACACTATGTATAGAATATCTATCACATACCTGAATAAGTACAGCTGAGTGAGTCAAAGCATCATTCAACATTACAAGCACATTGGAGGTTGGAACCACTCCTGGATCATGACCCCACGATGTTATTAGTAAGCGGTCATATGCCTAAAAAACACAGGACAATTAGGGTGACATCAGAGGAAAGTCGAAGGTCTCATTTAAAAAAATAAAAGTAAAGGCAATGTAGTCATCTCTAGCAATACAACTTTACTTTGCACTTTATTTCAGGATTTGATTTGTGTGGCCACGAGACTTTCTTCAATAATTAAACATATTGAGTTTTAACACTCAGTTTCAGCCCTGATGACATGTGTCTTGTTCTGCATTACAATATTTAACAAGTCATGTGCTTTCTGAACTCTTTACTTTTACTTTTGACATATCAGGACATATTAGCTGTAATCAAATATACAAAGTGATTTAAAGAGAAAGACATAAACCCCAACATGGTGGTACAGACATAATCTTACATTTATTAATGCCTTAAATTTATTGTTAGGAGTGTAAGGCATATTAATCTGAAGACTGGGAGGGGGGGGGGGAGAGAAACATGAATTACCTATCAATGCACCTCATCTCAAGATGCACAAGATAAAATTCCGCACTTTACAAACCTGAAAAATATCTGGTAACTTCCTGAGTCTGGTTCCTTTCGATAGCAAGAGAGAGGGCGGTCCTTGGCCAGAAACATGATAAATGTAGAGCTTAAACCAGATAGAGCTCACTTCAGGGATTGCAGGTCCAATATGCTGCAGAACCGAATATAGTTCCTGGTTAATGCAGTGAACGTATATACATACACGTATTATACAGCATGTGGCAGCAGTATAGTTATGTAGTAACATAGGATGGAGGGGGGAAATGGTTTAGTCATTAAGAAAATGCTAGAAATACTCTAATCCTTGGATGGGACTGTCTTCCCTATTAGTAGCACATGTATGTACTATGTTAAATGGTATTTATGGGGTTCAGTAGAGAGAATTGAGTGCAAATGTATGACATCCATCAATTTAATATTTTTCCAATTTGGTTTAGTCGTTAAGTAAATGCTAGCAATACTCTAATCCTTGGATGGGATTGTCTTCCCTACTAGTAGCTGACCTCCACCTCCACATACATGTATGTACTATGTTAAATGGTTTTTATGGGGTTCAGTAGAAAGAATTGAGTGCAAATGTATCAAGAGGATGTTTTAAATATTAGCACAAACAAATGGAAAATAAAAAACAGATCCCTGGAGCCTCATTACTAGACTAAACAAGTGGCATTATAGGTGTAATGTAGAGGATTTATATATTGCGTTATAAGCAATCTTATTCCTCCTCTGCACGGCTTAGATCTTTTTCTGGTTTAAGCAGTTGGATAAGCACCCCCTGGCACTAAGGAGGGGGTGATATTATTGCTCCTGACTACTGGGTATATTTTATATTGTTTGTTGGAGTGAGGATCCACTAACACTGCACAAGCCGGGATAGTGTAGACCCTGTAATTTCTGTGGATAACTGTTGGCCACTTGACAAGGCATTTCATCAGTCATGAAGTTTTGTGGAAATAAACAATTCATGAGCAGACTGGAAGCCAAGCCTATGTAAGCCAGATTTCATACGTTAGCATTACCTGTGGGGTACAGCTGCTGATTGGGCGAATCTCATTGGTGAGAGGTGCCATGGAAACGAGCAGCGAATAGTTCTTGTTTAAAACGCGGCTGCACGTGGCAGGGTCCAACCCCAACAGGCTTTCACATCGCAGAAGGTCCAGCTGCAAACCTAAATTTAAAAAAAACACGATAGTATGATCCTATGGTAGCCACTCAGTAGAATCCCAGCACTCGTGAAATTCCACCTCCCATGATGCTTTGACCTAGAGCTGGAAAGCTAAATGGTTGTGACCTGCATTTTAAGCCACGTCTCATCCAACAACAGCACAGTACAAAGCAAACAACTTTCTAATTTACCAGGCTACGTTAGATATTTATTTCACACAAGCACTAAGCCAGTAGGTTTCATTACCAGCTCTTGAACTCTGACAGCTTTGTTTTACTTTTGCTTTCCAATATTTTAGGAATGGTATAGGATGACATGAATTACTGGTTAATGATTAATTCACTCAAGATTAGTCTACACTTCGAACATTATCGGTTATCACGTTTTAATGTAGCGGTGTCTTTTTTGAATTGCCTTATTATTTAGCATTTTACTGTGAAGTTTTAATTTCAATAGGTTTGAAGAATTACCAGGTTATTTGCTCGAATGGCAAACAGCAGGTTCTCATGGAGGACTTATTTGTAATTTATTGTACTCAATATATATATTCTAGCATTAAATTAGAAACTCACTTTTAATTCCCGACAATTCGCACTTCACTGAACAACCCTGTAAATCTCTGGACCTGCCCCAGTGTACATTCAGTCCATTTAACTGGTACAGTAGATACTTTTTATTCAAAGGTCTAATAAGCAGCTCATTTGAGTAAAATGTTGTAGTTGTTCCAGCCAAAATCACAAATAACAGAAATATATAGAAACCATAACAGAAACATTGAAAAGCTCCATTCGATTTAAAAAAAAAAATATATATATTTATTTTATATATATGGCAGATACATCGTCAGACAGAATTGCCATTTTATTCTGTAGCATCCATTCCTCAGCATGGACTACGGGCATCACAGCACAGATCAGCAAACTGAGCCACGATGTACTAACACACAAAAGAGTAAGAATTACCATGTATTACATTGTCAGTCTCTTCAGTATAACAAGCTAAAGAAAACACACATAGCTGACAAAACAAAGTCTGAAAGCCCTCTGTTATATACGCCTGTGAACACAGACTGTTTAATTCTTTTTTTTGCTTGTGCAAACACAGTTGTCCACACAAACCTGTTTTTTGTGTGTTTACAGCCAGTGTGGAGTTCATTTAATTCTGAGCTTATACTAACACCACAGTGGGTGAAAGTTCCTGAAACCATGTAGCAGACTGGCATATGTGCAGAGAAGTAATACTACAAAGGAAATATTTTTACAGATATCAATCAAAGTGACTGCCACTGGTGTTTCCGCGGCCTCTGAGACTTTAGACGTTTCCCTGATAATAAACATGTCTTGTGTAAAATTTGATGATTTCTACTAAGCCCTTCCAATCCCGTAAATGATATTGTTCTCAAATACTGTAAAAAATGAAAAAATGTTTAATGTCAATTTAAGTGAGGAACTAAATTTTCCTCTCTCTCTTTCTGGTGTTATGTACACATACATTTTCTATAAATGGAACCTATTCTGTTACTCTTCATATTTTCCAGGGGACAAATCAAGGTTTTGTGGAACCTGGTTTCCTGCAGATCCTGTCTTCAGTACTGCCGATCTGTGTAACCATATAGAATTTCTTTCTGCCAGGGGTGGCCAGTGGATGGTGTAGAACTACTTTTCCCTAAATGGTTTGTCACTCTCAAGGTGCATATTGAAGTTACAGTTCTACAACTTCTAGGGACCTAACTATCTACGCATTAGGTGGTAGAGCACCGTACCTGCATTCACTTGCTGCTCAGGCTGTGCAACCAGATCCTTATTATGCCGCAGAAAGAGTATTGTGTTTCTCAGAGTCAGCGCGTGATCAAAGTATCGCTGGGCTTCCCCTTCACCTGTGCTTTGCACCTGGGATAAAGAGAAGCATGGAGAGCAATGAAAAGGTGGATTGGTTTCAGCAAAGTACAAGCCCATTTACACATTAATACTCCTGTTTAATACTTCCACGTTCAACGGCTGGTATGTTATGAACTGCATCAATAATCACTTGCAGCCAGAACATTAAGAGATCTGTTTCTACATAGTAAACAGGGACGATGTTGTTTTCCTTGATTACACGTTTACACATGTATGCTTTTAGCTGTAGGATTCACAAAGACAAATTTGCTGTCTGGCGGCTTACATTTACATTATTTTAAGGAGAGTTTCTGTGTGGACATTAGTTTAATAATTATCATTTGTCACGTGTAATGTGATACAGAGGTAGGTCACTGCATATACATATTTGTTCGCACCTTGAGCTTCCCTCTCCCATTAGCACTGGTATTGTCTAAAGGAGACTGAACAAATGGTCTGATTAATTACTTATCTAACTACCTCACACACAACATCACAGAACATTCAATTACTTGGAGATAAAATATTCATTTCAAATTGGAAAATGAAACTGAGAAGTCTCTCAGTCATATTCTCAAAAAATACTTTTCCCTCTCAACTTTTAATGTGGTATTTGTACTTCTATAAAGTGGTACATAAACAAACTTCAAGGAACTACTATGTTAAATTTTCGTAGATATTATTTGTCTGACCTAAATCTGGGGTTTCATGTATATTTAAAATTACATTAAAAAATAGCCTGTCAGTCTGGTACTGTAGCCACGTCTCATTATAATAGCTTAATCTTCTGCATTGATTTGTCATTTTTTTAAAAAGCTTGTGCTAAGAAACATGCTCACACACTGCCTGGGAAAGAGCAAGACCTTGGGAGGAACTTGCATGGTGCCTTACGTTACCTTCTCGAGTTCCACAAGGAAGCTATCCAGCGTCTCATCTGACAATTTGCCAACTTCAAACATGGTGACTGCGTGACTTTTAAGGTTCTGAGGGAATGAGGATAAGAGACTATTAATGGTCAGTCTACACATAGAGCAATGCATCATCGGCATCATTCCCATATAGTTTGTATATTCATTATGATTGTTACAGGGTGGTAAACTTCACTGTACTTTTTCATAAGCTAATTATGTTTTACATTTGAATGTTTATGCTCTATAATGCTTTACTACACCACCTTCTTCTTAGCCTTCTAAAATAAGCCACAGGCTCAATAAACGAACCAACAAAATGTGTCTGTCAAAAGAAAATAGACACAAACACAGTGCATTGCTCCATTAGTGACGGAGGTTTAAACTATAAGTAAGTCTTTTCTACTGGCTTGGGTGCCTTGGTAATTTAAAGAAGGCCTAATTAAAGAGGTTTTTTTGGAAATATCACACAAAACAAAATATTCGACTTTTTTTTTTTTTTTTTTTTAAATTCTTTATTTTGTTCGTGCAGGGATAAGACATACAATTTGCACTGCCACAATAGCTGGTGCAGATCGATTGGCATTCACATATGTTTACATGGCATCAGAAACATTGCACTTTTTTTTTTTTTTTAAACGAAAAAACAGACAGGTTTACATTGTATATTTCCTAACCACCTAGATGGAACCGTCGCTTTGCCCACCGATTGATAACGTGGTTTAGGGAAAGGTAGGAGTAGAGGTCATGCTAAGACATCGCTTTATAGAATTGAGTCGAGGACAAATGGCTTTGTGCTTAGTGCATTGAAACAAAGAAAAAATGAAACATAACGAGTTTGATAACCAACTAAGAGTTAATACACGAGATAGTATCAGTATTTAAACTAATGGCATGCTTAATAACATGGGTTAAACGTATCAGATACGCCAAGAATTCAACACCAAGTCGCTTTTGTTTAGATAGATATAACAGGCGTGGTCTAAGCTTGGAACATGTATATAAAACTTTAAGATCTGTGCCAAATACGCTTAGCTAAGTAGTTATTGTATGTACATACAATTAATAAGTTGCAGGTTATATTAAACATCGTTAGGTGTAAATTTCTCCGCACTTTTTAAATTAACCACCAGGGGCAGCGAGTCACTAAGCTTGCCGGGTAATGCATATATTCAGGCATAGACAGGTGTAAGTGATTTCCCTGCGGTGATAAATTCAACTGTATTACAAGCATAAATGATATTAAAAAGTCAATGCAAAACTGAAGTATATACAGTACTCTGCAGGATTATCAGTCTGCATGGTTAGCAGCCGCTTAGTTACTTCTGCAGCAGCTCTGGGGCGGCTGGTGTCTCTGCCATCTCCAGGTCGCTTGTGTTTCCCGCTGGTTGGTAGATTGCTTCGGTACTTGCAGGCTATGGGTGTGTTCACTTTTATGCTTTGCCAGCATCAGCCTTGGGTACATGAGGGAGCCTGCGTGCTGTGCCCACTCTGTGTGAGCAGTGTGAGAGTCCAGGTAAGATCCCCTTGGTCTGCCAGTAGCACAAGGAGTTGTAGCTTCTGCTTAGGTGGATGGGAGCTCTTTCTTCGGTTTGTACTGGGCGCGGCGGCCATTTTGGGTTTTGCCATGCGGTCCTGCTTTAATCCTTTCGCAGCTCGAATGGTGAAAGCGGTCACTGCCTCTCTGGTGGGGTCCGGGATAACCCCCCCGGCCCACGGGGGGGGGAACGGGGCCCTCAGTAGGCTCACGAGATGACCCGCCGGACCAAGCACGGGAGATCGGCCGTTTCTCCCGCCAGAGCCTCACGGCAGGCCTCAATCCCATCCGCCCAGTAGTCCGCTCTGCCGGCAGGACGGGTGCTGATATTGGCACTGATTTTTTGTGTCCTCTTCGCCTTCATGTGGTCACTGGTCGCCAATCTCAGGCATAAAAAGGGAATTTCTGCCTGATTGTGGTGGTTTCCTAGAGGAGCCGAGGTGCCCCACGTCCTTCCCGCTCGGCGGTCAGGCCCCGCCCCCCAATATTCGACTTTTTTAAGTATGATACATTGTCAAAAAATTAATTTGTGGTACAGGCTAAGCACCCAAACAATTTCAGCTAAATTAAGTGGCTTTGTTCATATATGCTGCCCCTTTATTCAGATGAAGTAAAACACTAATGTTTTTGAGAAATGTAAATATTTTCATTTATCAGAAACCCCGGCTCCAGCAGCTGTCACTCTGAATATCAGAGCTCTTCATGTTCTGTGTCATGATGTCCAGAGTGATGAAGCGAAATGCGTCCAAATCCTTTTATAAAGAAGCATTTGAGTGGCGAAGTGTGGCAATGGCATTAAACCGGACAAAAGTCATCATCCCTAATTTAAGGGGGAGGCTGAGCGGCTGCACCAAGAAAACTGGGGAGACAGCCATAATCTAAACACTTACAGGGACACTCGAACATTAAAAATACATATATTCCATTAAGTACAGATCCTCTTTCCTATAACCAGCGCATTATCATCTTATGATTGGTAAGACTTCTCTATAGCACAGCCGTATAGGCGTTTTGTAAAAAGAGCTACTATGGGACCAAATTCTAAATATGAAGTAATCACCATGGAAACGAACTGAACATTCCATCTGACAACTCCACTAAAAGCAGTGTGCCACATAATTGCTATTTATATATAGATAGCTTTGATACATTTTAAAGAGAGAAGAAAATACAATTTATATATTTTACTTTAACTTAAAGTAGTTTTACTTTTATATAATGTATTTTTGAAGTTATGATTTCACAGACCAAAAAAAAAAAAAATAGTTCAAATGAAATGAGGAAGAAAGTTGATAGCGAGACAATCCATTTTAGCTGCTGTCAGAGAACATTAAACACAATAAATCTTTCAAGTTAAAAAGCGCCTGAAGGAAGCTTTCTAAAGTAAGTTTACAGAACAAATAGATGACATACTGGTGAGAGGTTTCCCATCATCAGAAAGGCAGTAAGTGTCGAATCAAATAGGAAAGCAATTCTTTTAGTGTGCCCAGTTGTCAGATTGAGGCTGCTGACACTAGATGTATCAGCTGCAATAAAAAAAGAAAGAAATCACACTTTATGTTAGACAAAAATAAGTTTCAGCAAACATACAAAAATATTTCTGCAAACTGCACACAGAATTAATCTAGGAAATACAACACACAAAAAAACAACAACAAAAAAGGATTCTCGATTATAGATTTACTCTAATCTAATAATTTGTGTTTGTTTTTTTTGTTTGTTTTTTTTTTTTATGATATGGGAAGACATTGTCAACATAATCTAAAATCATGGGATTTTTGTAGATAAATCATTTGAAAAGCTTATCCAAAAATATTGAAATGAGGCCTTGCTTCTTCAGGTTTCGTAAATCTTGGCACATTCTTACCTGGATCTTCTTGACTGTTTGTGTCCGTGTCTGTTGCCGATGAAGCAAGATCTTGAACTGGGCTCTTGTTTTCTGTGCTTTCCCATGAAAGCAGCATCTTCTGAGGATCCAAAGTACTCCTGTTTATTACAAAGAACTATTATTTAGAATGTTCTAAGTAAGACGTACAAATGCATGTACTTCCCACACTTGTTCTGGAAGCTCAGAAGGTGATTGCTAGGTCTCCAAGTCAGAGATTTGTCCGTATACCAGTAGTGGGGTTTTATCTCCGTCCATGTCTGGCTCAGAGCCTAATTAAGAATTAACCACCTATTTCTTGTTTGGTTTTTTTTTGGTCAAAAGTACCACTTGTTACCCATAGTGTTTTAAAATTAACAGTTTAGATAGCATAATGCTATGTCTAACACAGGTAACTGTAAGTAGCTTCAACAGCTTGAAATAATTCCATTCTGCTTTAGGTATGTAATAAGTCATTTCAAGTAGTTTATATCGGAGGTATTTACTATAAAACATTTTACACCTATTCCCTACAGTTTAATCATTTTTCAACATCCCCAATTAAAATAATTTATTTTAAACATTGTTTTTTTATTTAAAACATTTTGGAGCTTAATCATATGTTATGCTATCCAACCAAGATGCAAGAGACTAAGAAAAGCACAGTTATTAATTAAAAAGCGATATGCAATAGTTACTTCAGTTTATTTAACGATGCCACATTCCTCCAGGATTGGTGAAGTTGGTCTGGATTGATAACTTGACCCTTTTTGAAGGCAAACCCTAAACGGCAATACATGGAGACTGCATTCTGGGGGGACACAAAACCATTATAAGACATGAATTTAAGGATAAAAAGACTGGTTAAAGAACACCGTTAGCAGATACAATGAAAGTGGGATTGAGTCTTTTAATATAAGAAATGGTGGGCAAGGAGCTAAATGGCAAAACAATATCAGTTCATGATTAAGTAAACTATGCAGTAACTATAAAGATTTACTTTGTTAATAAATGATCTAGCAGTTTTAATACTAACATTTCTTGCAACTTACAGAACATAGATTTGTTTTATTCATTGAAATTATTAGTCGGGTGCCGCAGTGACAAGAACCCCCTTATTAAAGAATGAGAGCATGACATGCCTCCTTACCCCCATAATTATTCTTAATAAAGCACCAACATATTCCGTAACACTGTTTAATAGGTGGATTAACAAACAGGTATTTGAAAAAAAGACAGGTGTTAAGTACAAGAACAGAAGGTGCAGGGTGCCCAGCTCAAATGTGCTTACAGCCAAAGTATTGTACATAGTGCATGATTGTTCTCTACGTAGAACATGGGAAAACATAAACATTTCTAATCTGGGCAAACATTAATTACACTAAAACCGAAGTAACCATAAGATCTTAAATACACAATAACACAAGATCCACAAAGAGAACTGACTTGGCATTCTAAGGACATACAATGGTACTTAAAAATGAATTAAGTATACAATAAACTTCGTGACAGTGCGCAGGTAACGTACTAGTCCATGTTGCCACCCAGAGGATGAAGAAAGATGAGCGTCTGTCTGTGTTTTCTTTGCTCTTGTTTTTTACAGCCATTTGCTATATCTATGTAGCCTATATTTGTATATTTAAAATGTATTATTATTTAGGCCCCAAAGGTCTATTTGAAATCTCAGTTTTGCTTTTAAAGTGAATATGAATATATTATGTTTTAAATATATATTAGTCAAGGGCTCCACTTAGAGGTTTGTCTGATATTGATATTTAGTGATAGTGAAAACTTAATTTGTTTTCATAGAAAACCCAAGATGACATGTCCACTGCCATAGTTTTATTCAGCTGGAGAAGAGTAATGCAGATATCCTTTCCCATTGTTCGCACTGCCATGGTTTTACCGACCTGGAGAAGAGGAATGCAGATAGCCTTTCCCATTGCTCGCACTGCCATGGTTTTACCCAGCTGGAGAAGAGGAATGCAGATAGCCTTTCCCATTGCTCGCACTGCCATGGTTTTACCCAGCTGGAGAAGAGGAATGCAGATAGCCTTTCCCATTGCTCGCACTGCCATGGCTTTACCCAGCTGGGGAAGAGGAATACAGATAGCCTTTCCCATTGCTCACACTGCCATGGTTTTACCCAGCTGGAGAAGAGGAACCCACTGCTCGCACTGCCATGGTTTTACCCAGCTGGAGAAGAGGAACCCATTGCTCGCACTGCCATGGTTTTACCCAGCTGGAGAAGAGGAATGCAGATGGCCTTTCCCATTGCTCACACTGCCATGGCTTTACCCAGCTGGGGAAGAGGAACCCATTGCTCGCACTGCCATGGTTTTACCCAGCTGGAGAAGAGGAATGCAGATAGCCTTTCCCATTGCTCGCACTGCCGTGGTTTTACCCAGCTGGAGAAGAGGAATGCAGATAGCCTTTCCCATTGTTCGCACAGCCGTGGCTTTACCCAGCTGGTGAAGAGGAATACAGATAGCCTTTCCCATTGCTCACACTGCCATAGTTTTACCCAGCTGGAGAAGAGGAACCCATTGCTCGCACTGCCATGGTTTTACCCAGCTGGAGAAGAGGAATGCAGATAGCCTTTCCCATTGCTCGCACTGCCATGGTTTTACCCAGCTGGAGAAGAGGAATGCAGATAGCCTTTCCCATTGCTCGCACTGCCATAGTTTTACCCAGCTGGAGAAGAGGAATGCAGATAGCTTTTCCCATTGCTCATACTGCCATGGTTTTACCCAGCTGGAGAAGAGGGAGAAGAGGAATGCAGATAGTCTTTCCCATTGCTCGAACTGCCATGGTTTTACCCAGCTGGAGAAGAGGAACCCATTGCTCGCACTGCCATGGTTTTACCCAGCTGGAGAAGAGGAATGCAGATAGCCTTTCCCATTGCTCAAACTGCCATGGTTTTACCCAGCTGGAGAAGAGGAACCCATTGCTCGCACTGCCATGGTTTTACCCAGCTGGAGAAGAGGAATGCAGATAGCCTTTCCCATTGTTCGTACTGCCGTGGTTTTACCCAGCTGGAGAAGAGGAATGCAGATAGCCTTTCCTATTGCTCACACTGCCATGGTTTTACCCAGCTGGAGAAGAGGAATGCAGATAGCCTTTCCCATTGCTCGCACTGCCATGGTTTTACCCAGCTGGAGAAGAGGGAGAAGAGGAATGCAGATAGCCTTTCCCATTGCTCAAACTGCCATGGTTTTACCCAGCTGGAGAAGAGGAATGCAGATAGCCTTTCGCATTGCTCATACTGCCATGGTTTTACCCAGCTGGAGAAGAGGAACCCATTGCTCGCACTGCCATGGTTTTACCCAGCTGGAGAAGAGGAATGCAGATAGCCTTTCCCATTGCTCATACTGCCATGGTTTTACCCAGCTGGAGAAGAGGAATGCAGATAGCCTTTCCCATTGTTCGTACTGCCGTGGTTTTACCCAGCTGGAGAAGAGGAATGCAGATAGCCTTTCCTATTGCTCACACTGCCATGGTTTTACCCAGCTGGAGAAGAGGAATGCAGATAGCCTTTCCCATTGCTCGCACTGCCATAGTTTTACCCAGCTGGAGAAGAGGAATGCAGATAGCTTTTCCCATTGCTCATACTGCCATGGTTTTACCCAGCTGGAGAAGAGGGAGAAGAGGAATGCAGATAGTCTTTCCCATTGCTCGAACTGCCATGGTTTTACCCAGCTGGAGAAGAGGAACCCATTGCTCGCACTGCCATGGTTTTACCCAGCTGGAGAAGAGGAATGCAGATGGCCTTTCCCATTGCTCACACTGCCATGGCTTTACCCAGCTGGGGAAGAGGAACCCATTGCTCGCACTGCCATGGTTTTACCCAGCTGGAGAAGAGGAATGCAGATAGCCTTTCCCATTGCTCGCACTGCCGTTGTTTTACCCAGCTGGAGAAGAGGAATGCAGATAGCCTTTCCCATTGTTCGCACTGCCGTGGTTTTACCCAGCTGGAGAAGAGGAATGCAGATAGCCTTTCCCATTGCTCACACTGCCATGGTTTTACAGAGCTGGAGAAGAGGGAGAAGAGGAATGCAGAGAGCCTTTCCCATTGCTCGCACTGCCATGGTTTTACCCAGCTGGAGAAGAGGAATGCAGATAGCCTTTCCCATTGCTCACACTGCCATGGTTTTACCGAGCTGGAGAAGAGGAATGCAGATAGCCTTTCCCATTGCTCACACTGCCATGGTTTTACAGAGCTGGAGAAGAGGAATACAGAGAGCCTTTCCCATTGCTCACACTGTCATGGTTTTACCCAGCTGGAGAAGAGGAATGCAGATAGCCTTTCCCATTGCTCACACTGCCATGGTTTTACCCAGTTGGAGAAGAGGAATGCAGATAGCCTTTCCCATTGCTCACACTGCCATGGTTTTACAGAGCTGGAGAAGAGGATTGCAGAGAGCCTTTCCCATTGCTCACACTGCCATGGTTTTACAGAGCTGGTGAAGAGGAATGCAGATAGCCTTTCCCATTGCTCGCACCGCCATGGATTTACCCAGCTGGTGAAGAGGAATGCAGATAGCCTTTCCCATTGCTTGCACTGCCATGGTTTTACCCAGCTAGAGAAGAGGAATACAGATAGCTTTTCCCATTGCTCGCACTGCCATGGTTTTACCCAGCTGGAGAAGAGGAATACAGATAGCTTTTCCCATTGCTCGCACTGCTATGGTTTTACCCAGCTGGAGAAGAGGAATGCAAATAGCCTTTCCCATTGCTCGCACTGCCATGGTTTTACCCAGCTGGAGGAGAGAAATGCAGATAGCCTTTCCCATTGCTTGCACTGCCATGCTTCTTTTTGTCTTCATCTTCGGCTCTGGAAGTTTCATTTACCATGTTTATACTCTTATTGATGTCTGAGAGTATACATCTATAGAAGAAACCAGAAGATCATCAATTGATGATCTCAGGCAGTGAAATGCCAGGTATTTACTAAAAAATCTTGTTCCCATCAATTGCCAACCACAGGATGCAGTGGGATATCAATCTCGACGATGTCAACCAATCCAGTACTTTCCCAATCAAAGCATGGGGAACATTCAGCGTCTTCATGCAGAACGCGGAGAAGCTGATTGCCAGTGCTGCACTGAGATAGGGAGTAACATGAGTGGCAGTCTGAATCACTGCCACTAGAGATGTTATTAGGCAGCATTTACATTGAAAAGTGTTCAGGAAAATTCTGTAGACACCAGAACCACTACATTAAGCTGTAGTGGTTCTGGTGACTATTGTGTCCCAATAAATGTTAACTGCAAGCCTGGAGGATCCATGGTACAATCAACAGAGGTGAATGTCTACTTGCCAGAATTTTCAATGCCTGCTGGAGAGTGGAATGTTTGAGCCCTGGTCTTGTATACTTTCTGATTGCTTGAAATTTTGATGACATTCTAATGTAGTCCTTACGACTGGGCAGACTAGATGGGCCAAATGGTTCTTATCTGCCGTCACAATCTATGTTTCTATGAGGTTTTATAGAAAGTTATATACAGTGTGCAAGGAACTTTTTTTTCTTGGCTTTGTTTGCATCTCATGGCTAACTTAGCATTCTTTACGAACAGCGCTAAAGGAAGTCAAATGTACCTTGTCATAACCACAATAATTAGTGGCCATGGTGTCAGAACGTTCCAGTCAAAAAAGACATTTACTACTTTTCTAAAACTAAATAACATGTGTTTTAATTTTACGCGTAAAAGTACTGGATATAAATACTTTGCTTGCAAAAAAAAAAAACACATCACATTGTGTTCTATATTCCCTATCCACCCTTTAAAGGGTTAATCTGTAACAAAAAGGAGATAATTCGATCGACATGGAAGGCAAGTCTTGATAATCTTCTATGTAGTGGAATTTTAATTGTAAACCAGTACAAGACACGACATACCTTTACTAGGGACAAATCAATTTCTAGAACATTTGCCAACTGAAGAAAAAAAAAGAAAAAAAAATATGATTAGAAGGGTATACAGAGATAAAAAGTATAATGTAATATAAATAGAAAACAAGTGAAATGGTCAGATTACACCATATGACAGCCTGGGAATCATCTTGGTTAACAGAGTGATTGTAACTGAAAATGTCAGATAAAGACAATACGTGCACCAGAACCATTACATCTTATTGTTGAGATTGTGGTGCTAGGAAGCAGCAGATGCAGTCCCTTATTATTATGTCAAAGTGATTTCAAATACCTTTGCCAAAATTCAGAGCAACTGTCATCATTCAAAGACCACCCTTATAACTTGAAAACATATAAGTGGAAATATCACTCATTATCTGTTCATTTTCTTTAACGTGCAATCCGATCCTCAAAGCTCTAGGTGGGACAGGAGAATGGAGCCTTCAGCTTTCAATATGTGTGGCTACGTCTCCCATGATGCTTTGCCAGCATTACAGCTGGAGTGCCAATGGTTGACTACCCCTGTTCTAGGGTATTATAATGCTTCAGTCATGCTGATTGGTTGCTCAACCTTCTGGCAAATCTAAATCGAACGAAGGGAGGCAACACTATTTTGCCGGCACTGAAAAAGTTGCTGATTTTGTGCGACTATCAGCCTATAAACAACAGCTTTAAAGGGACACTCAAGACACCAAAACAACTTTATCTAAATCAAGTTGTTATGGTGCCTGGAGTGTCCCTAGATGCACTCTTACCTCAAGGGGTTAAACCATTCTTGAACAGGTAAGCCACAGAGTTGCCTCCAGCGGCCAATGTTTATTATTCGCTAAACTAGCTTGAGAAAGAAATGTACCTTTGTCAAGCCATTGACACTGATTGGCTGAGAGCATCAACCAGTCAGAAAGAAATCAGAAAGCATCAGAAAGAAATGTACTTGTGTCAAGCCATTGACACTGATTGGCTGAGAGCATCAGCTGACCAATCAGCGTCGCCCCTATCGAGAGGCACTCCATGCTTCCTGAATAAGAAATTCTGAGCTGGATGTCTGGGGGAAGTGGACATCACCGCTGGAGGCAAATCTGTGGCTAAACCATTTAAGAACGGTTTAACCCCTTGATGTAAGTGTGCCTTCACAGGCCTCCTGGCACCCATAACGACTTAATTTAGATGAAGTTGTTTTGTTGCCTGGAGTGTACCATTAAGCCTCTCATTGTACTACAAGAAACAAAATGGGAACAGTCCCCCAGCCTTCTGCACTTACCTGGTTCAAGCACCAATGTTCCTGGGTGCTGATTCAAGCCCCCCTCCCCCCTCCAATAAACCGGTAGGGAGGAGGGAACATAATGTGCATGCATGTCGATTGCCACGCTCGCACTAGGATTTCTCACATAGGAAAGCATTATACAACTTCATCGCTAAATGATTGAGAGCTGTACAATACTGGTTATCTATAAACCTTGCGCATGTAGCACTCCATGAATAAACTTTGGGCAGTATACTGTTTGGCACATAGCAGAAATAACAGCCATCTCCCAAAATGTTTAACTACATATTAATATAGAGCAGGATATCATTAAGTCACAGATAAAACTTACTTCAGCTACATTTGTATGTTCATCAATGGAAACAAATATCTTGTAAAGAAGAGTTTCAAAATAGTCTCCTTGCAATCTGTTCATCACAAATCCTTCAAGTGGAGGCACTGAAGATTAACAATATTGGATTAGTTTACAATGTAGCTTACATCAATGAACCTGTACTCTGACCACAAACTGATATCTATATAGACAAAACATTACAGTTTATTCAGCTACACAAAACTTGACACACTTAAAAAGCACTGTGGCAGAGAGTAGGAGAGCATCTGTAAGAGGGTTCTCATGCTCTATGCCAGGCATAGGCAACCTTCGGCACTCCAGATGTTTTGGACTACACCTCCCATGATCCTTTGCCAGCAATATGAGTGTAAGAGCATTATGGGGGATGAAGTTCACAACATCTGGAGTGCCGAAGGTTGCCTATCCCTGCTCTATGCTGTCAATTTATGGAAATTTGCAATAGCATTGTGAAGAAAATCCATCTGGGATGGGAACTTTATGACGAGATTGGGAGAGGATCTCATCTTCTGTGTAATATATATATTTTTTAATATCTCCCTCTTGTATTCCGTTCAGGGGGAAGATACACTCCTTCTAGAAATGAATTTATTTCTGTTTGGTATTTAGGAATTACTAAAAATGTCACTGGAGAAAACACTTGTTCCCATGAATTGCCAATCACAGGTGCCTACATAGTCTCATGCAGTTCAAAAATGTTAAACCTATGCTACTAGCCAAGCATTAAAATACAAATATGTATTATCTGTGAATTGAGTTTTATACATTATGATCAGAAGCCACGTTATATAGAGAGGCATTAAAAAAGAGGCCAGTTCATTTACAATCTGTGTGGGATTGGATAGCTTAGTTCCATATGCTGAAAGCAAGAAAATTATCTTGTATAATGACTGCTGCTTATTTAATTTAGCTGCAAGAAGCTTATTTGCTCTATTACCCTGAGAGTAGTAAGTTTCTTTGATACATCTCAGAAGACAAGTATTTTCGTGGGTGAATAACAGGAATGGTGTCTCTTATTGTCCCCCTCTAGTCTAAGTAACTCCTGGAGGAGCCATGACCAAGACAGACTCAGTCATTTTCTATGCGCCCCTGCTTTTATAAGAATGCATCGGAGAACTACCTTATAAGACAGCCGAATCATGCGGGCAGGGGTATCATCAGAAGTGTTGGTGTGAAAGTAATCTTTGAGAGAGGTTTTTCCACTTCCAGATCCAACACTTTGTCCACCAGAAGTGATTTATTTAACCTACAGTTTCCCCTTCCCTTTGTAGAGTGTACAATAAAAAAGGATGTATTCACTGAGTCATGGTCCAACCAAGTAATTTTGACAATCGTAACATCATTAATTTTGGACACTGTTGCCCCATCATTCAGGCACATGTCTACCCTTCTGTAAGTCAAATGTACTGGGGAATAGTTGGTGTAGACCCAGGAGGAGGGGTATTTAGCCCACCAGGAATATTGTAGATCTGAGGATTGCAACACGGAGGATTCATTTGTTGCTTAAGGATATAGCTCTGTGGGATGGTGGTCCATTGAACGTCTGCTTTATATCTAAAAGAGGCTCAAGGATTAAACATACTTTAACAGCTGGAGAAAGGAGTCGTTCGACTTGTCTTATGGTATGCTTGAACTGAGTTGGAATTTCAATAAAGATTATATCTTTATGAAATACTGAAAAGTTACAAATCCCTGTAAAGTCAAAAAGATATTGGGGGCACACCTGAAACGTGTATTTTGTAGGAATGGTGTTGCCGAAGTGACCAAAAGTTTACACATAATACAGATTGAGGAACGCTTAAATACACTTTAACTATTTTATTTGTCTCCCACGTTTGGAATTATAATAGGGTTTATAATAGGGTTAATCCAGCCTCTAGTGGCTGTCTCATTGACAGCCGCTAGAGGCGCTTCCGCGATTTTCACTGTGATTTTCACAGTGAGAAGACGCCAGGGTCCATAGGAAAGCATTGTGAATGCTTTCCTATGGATTGGCTAAATGCACGCACGGCTCATGCAGCGCATGCGCATTCAGCCAAGAAGGAGGAGAGGGGGAGGAGAGTTCCCCGCCTGGCGCTGGAGAAAGAGGTAAGTTTAACCCCTTCCACCTCCTAGAGCCAGGCGGGAGGGGGACCCTGAGGGTGGGGGTACTCTCAGGGCACTATAGAGTATGTTTTCCTGGCACTAGAGTGGTCCTTTAACACAATATGGCCATATGGTGGAAATGAATCCCCATATTTGTTTGCTGAGATAGGTGATAGTAGTCTTATAAAATGTAAAAATCAACATATTTTAATAGCTGGAGAAAGAGTCATTAGACACTTACCTGCTATGCAGCTGTCATCTGAGATTGGTACATCAAGATAAATAAATCCTTTATTATACAAGCCTAGAAAGATAGAGAGAATATGAGGAAAAATTTTTTTTTATAAATAAAAGGCAGGTTTTTTTTTTTTTAGAAAAATAAAATTTGCAAGAGATGCTTGATCACGTATATGAGGGTCGACTGGATACAAAGTACAATACTTTTCGGCTGTGTACAATTTGGCAAAAAATAATATTAAGACACAAGCACACAGAGTTTCAAGGAAGATAATTTGAATATTTAACAGATTATTTAGCATGAAGGAACGCATCTGAATAAAGACTACGTCTTGTCTCTGTTTCATTAGTTGATATGCTATACCACCTTGAAATATTTTTTCTGTAAATGGCTTACTGTGCACTACGTTGTACTCCAGAGAACCAGCAAGCTGAGGCCCAGAGTCAATAATTTTATCAATAGCGCGTTTTTCTGCTGTGCTGCACATCTGAAATGACCAAATATAGATTTAGAACAAGACTGCATGCAACAACCACACTTTTTCTCAGAATAATATCGCTAGCTGCTATTTCTGTACACCACCCAATAATTACAAAAAACAAGATTAATACAACTCTGTCACATTATTCTGAAGCCAGAATCCAAGGGAATTTTTTTTGTTTTAGGTAGACCGGACTTGAAATAATCTGATTGCTTAGTATTCAAGGATAACAATATAGTTAACGTAACAATATCATTAAAATAAACATGTATTCCTGACGCCACAGTGTTTAATCCACCATTTAGGTGACTTGCCCCTCTTTAGCCCCCTTAGAAAAGGTGAAAATTCACCTTGAGGAAAGCATTGGATTGGCTGAAATCGTCAAGGAGGGAGTGGGGCCAAACGCTGTTTTAGCCAATCAGCATTTCCTCATAAAGATGCAATGAATCACTGCATCTCTATGAGAAAATGTTTGCGTCTCCGCTGAACGCACCTTCAGTGGCCATCTGAGGTGTGGCCAATTGGAGGAGTTACTAGGGGGAATGTAAACACTGCTTTTTCACTGAAAAGGCAGTGATGCATGAAAATGCCTGAAGGGAATTATTATACTCACCAGAACAACTACATTAAAGGACCACTCTAGGCACCCAGACCACTTCAGCTTAATGAAGTGGTCTGGGTGCCAGGTACCTCTAGGATTAACCCTTTTTTTAATAAACATAGCAGTTTCAGAGAAACTGCTATGTTTATACTGAGGGTTAATCCAGCCTCCAGAGCCTCTAGTGGTTGTCTCATTGACAGCCGCTAGAGGCGCTTGCGTGCTTCTCACTGTGAAAATCACAGTGAGAGCACGCAAGCGTCCATAGGAAAGCATTGTAAATGCTTTCCCATGCGACCGGCTGAATGCGCACGCGCATTCAGCCGATGACGTCGCGAGCAAGGAGGAGAGGAGGAGTACAGCTCCCCGCCCGGCGCTGGAGAAAGGTAAGTGTTTAACCCCTTCCTCTCTCCAGAGCCCGGCAGGAGGGGGTCCCTGAGGGTGGGGGCACCCTCAGGGCACTATAGTGACAGGAAAACGAGTATGTTTTCCTGGCACTATAGTGGTCCTTTAAGTTGAAGTTGTTCTGGTGACTATACGGTCCATCTAAATATAGCTTGAAAAAGCTGAAGATTGCTTGTCTAAAACCTTTGCAAGCCCCTTCTTTCAAAGCTCAGACTTTCTGTGACTGTCCAATTACAGACTTCCCAATGCAGCTCAATGAGAAGTCTTTGCAAGGCAGGTGTTCTGGGTAATTGCTGCCTCTTGAGTTTAACTTCACTGAGCTAAATAACCAGGAAGTGGCAGCACCAGTTGTCTGATTGGCAACCAGGGGGATGTAACAAAGTTATTTTATAAAAGTGGCAATTTCTATTTAAATCTGAACTCTTTGTAAAATTAAACAAATAGGACCAACTTTTCATACATAAAGCAAAAGTGTTTTAGGTTTCTGGAGTGTTCTTTAAAGATATACTAAACATATGTGCTTAAAGGGACACTGTACCAAAAAAACTACACCTTAATATAGTGGTTCTGGTGCATAGACTATGTCCATATATTTTAATAAATTAAAACATTGCTGATTGTGAGAATTAGCACACAATACATTTGTCAGTCAAAAAGCCACTAGAGACACTTCCTTGTGAAGACTTCCAATAGTTAAAAGACCTTATATTTGTCACTGTTGAATGCTTTGAATGTTTCTTTTAGAGAAGCGTTAGATTCAATTACATGGGTGAAAGCAAGATTGCAGAATAGAAGGAACAGAAGGAACTGGATTATTAGGCTTTCTGGCAGACATAGCTTTAAAGTGAAAGAGTACCTCTCTCTGAATAAATCTATACTGCTATGCTACCAAGATATACAATACAAACCAAAGGAAAAAAACAAATACATGCAAGTTTCTATTAAAATAGCAAATGTTGAATTAACTAATTTTATGCAAAATAAAAAGACATTATGTTCAACTCCAAGGATGAAATCACCAGCATTAGCATTTTGATGAAGCAAACAATGAGAAGGGAAGTTGATTTCTATCAGGACATTTAATCCGAACTAGACTAAAATGTAGGAGTCCGCTCTTATCCTACACATTTTGTTTTATTTTGTTTTTAAATAAATCATCCAAAAAGGTTTAAATTTTACAGATTTCAAGACCTTACAGACGCTCTCTACAAGAGAAACGTGATGATTTCCTGAGTTTGCATGAAGCAGAGTCCCATTGCTCTCATACAAGGTCTGTGTGGTTAGCCAATCTTTGGTTTGGAAACATTATAAGGCCAATCGGCCAACAGGAAACATAAGGTACACAAAGTCCGATAATACAAAAGAGTAAAGTATGGTTTCATGCCTCCTATCAGGGGTAATCTGCCAAACAGCTGACAAATGAATTACTGGGATATATCTCTAGGAACAATAACCAGAATGCATACCTTGATATCATCCTCTGTGATGTAACCAGCCTGGACCACCCACCAAGGCTCAATGGTGATTTCCACTGGTTTCAAAGGAAGCAGATCCCGGGCAGTTTTCCTTCTGAAGAATTTCTAAAACACAATATTAAATCAGAACTAAGCATATTCTATATGAAACAATAACAACATTATTACACAGGTAAGACAATGAATGAAAACAGTCCTCTGTGATACATTATAATGCAAGATTAGTGGCTCGAGTTTAGAAATTGGAACATTGGTAACATTAATAACAGCTTCTAAATGATACCCCAATTTGTACTCAGTAACCAAACAGCATGGGTGCCAAGTATAGTACATAGAAATTAATATCACTGGCATTTACTGGTAGTAGGCAGGTTTTTATGAAGGAGAAATTATATTTTAATTGCTACAAGTAAAAAGGAGAGAATACAGGTATTACCTTAGATGATCTGCACTGGTTCATCAGGTCAATATATTGGTTCCGTCCAATGGAAAGCAGCCTAAGACCTAAAATCAAACAACAATTAAACTATTTCTACAAATTCTTTCTAAAACTCACTATGGAGAATGACTGCTCACATTTAGACAACACCATTCCATTCAGTAGAGCTCTCAAAATATATGCCATAAAACTGAAAACAATGAGATTTTCTACTAAATGTCTTGAGATCTCAACTCATTTTCAACAGCCCACACAATCAAGTATGAAATAAGGAGAAACCAGGCCTATCATTTTCTATAACAAACATATAGCATATAGACTATCTGACTTTATTAAAAAAAAAAAAGAAAAAAAAAGAAACAGGAAACAATTATTTTATGTTCTGTGCATTTATTTTTCATGTTGCGATACATATTTAGCAAATTATCAAATAAAAATGAAAAAATATGGTTTCCAGCACTGTTTAGGGAATAAGCCCCTAAATATTTTTTGTTTTGTTGTTTGTAGGTGGTCAGGTCAGACAGACAATCTGCTTTGAGGATTTAGTCATGCTGGTCGAGACGTCTGCAGCAAATATGCAATGGAATCTCTGGCATGCTACTCGTTACATAGCATTCTATTTCAGACTGTGGTAATTACAATAAAAATAGGATAGGGCAAGTTACCATTTCCAAAACACAAACCGGATACATTAGGAGTAATATACAAACAAATTCTGGGGCAAAGTTCAAAATGTGGAGCAATCACCATGGGACTTCATGGAATGGTTCTACTCCACTATTAGAACTTTGCCACCAGAATTAGTTTTTATAAAAACTTGGGGAAAAATAAACGAGAAAAAAATAAAAAATAAAAAAAATAAAAAACACATGATTTAAAAAAAAAGACAGGATATACCAAAGAACTGAAAATGTTGCATATTGTGCATCTACGGATTGGCTCAAAAGTGATTTAGACAACAGAATGTACGAGTACGGTGTATCTTGCATGAATTGCTATACTTACAGTCTGCAGCAGTAAAATTCGGCAGGGAGTCATAACTCTTTTCACTGTTCATAATATCCTAAAAATTAAATAATCTCATTTAATTGGATCAGATTAATTTAAATTCAGAAACATTGGAATGATATATGCATTCATATTCATTCTGTTACTTTACCAACAGTTTTAGTGGCAGTGGAATGCTGTTAGAGCTAGGTTGCTTTGTGGTATATTTAGTAGAGAGACTTGCTTGCTAAATTACTATATGAAGGTGTACGTGGCAGGTGAGGCACAGCGTAAAACACACAATACCAACACGGATCTGTGTATATAAAACCTTTCACTTTTCATTTCGTGCTCACCCATTTTAAAGTACAAATCTCACATTCTGGTGTTTTATGATAAAGTTTCTGAGCCTGGTGTTGTGGGAGAAGTTAAAGGGATCCTATAGTGCCAGGAAAACAAACCCGTTTTCCTGGCAGTATAGGTTTAAAAGGTTCCCCCCTCTCCCTCACGGGGCTAAAGGGGCTAAAACCCCTTCAGCCACTTACCTGAATCCAGCGCAGATTTTCCTAGGTGCAGGGTCAGGCTCCGCCCACACTCCTTCCCCCGCCGACATGGGAGATGTAAGGCACACGCGCGGCAATGGCCACACTCGCATTAGCATTTCCCCGTAGGAAAGCATTATTCAATGCTTTTCTATGGAGAAAATCTGATGTTGGAGGTCCTCACGCAGAGCATGAGGACGTCCAGCGTCAGATAATGGACGAAAGGTTTGTTTAGATTCCGGAAGAGCCCCCAGTGGCTGCACTGTGAGCAGACTTAGAGCTGCAATGTAAACATTGCAGTTTTCTGCAACTGCAATTTTTTACATTGCAGCACTAAGTGCAAAAGGGACACAGCACCCAGACTACTTCAATGAGCTGAAGTGGTCTGGGTGCCTACAGTGTCCCTTTAACCACTCAAACTTACCTGGTAGGAGCCTGCTTTCCTGAGCTGATTGAGACACTACTTACTCCCAGTTCTTGTTTAATATATACTTTTCCTTCCGTTAGCCTTCTATTTTCAAGTTTGTCTGTACGTTGTTTCAGCATACACCAAATGACTTGGCTACAGGTGCTGATGTACACTGCCACAGGCATTTTGTTCCAGAACACAAATATATATATTTAAATATTATATTTTTTTTTTAGATGGTTGTTCATATGCTGACTTAAATGAATGGACACATTCAATCCGATATCTGTAAAGAGTATATGTAATAAGCATGCATAATGATACATATGAAAGCGGGTGCTTGAAACTATATGATTGAGATATTTATTCTAAGAAGTATTTACATAACGGATACTAGAACTTATAGAGAGGTGGTCATATACATCCATTATTTTGTTCTATTTTAATATTTTAAAGCTACATTTCTGTTAGTTTTTATACTGTTACCAAGTACTGTGTCTCTGCTCTTTTTAATATAGGTTTTATTTTTCTTATTTGAAGAAACCCCAATTCAGCATTAGGAAGGTTGCTGCAAATTGTTACTAATTTATTCTGCTTTTTGTGGCAAGCTACATGAACCGACTTTTATATATTCTGAATTTTTATTTATTTATTTTTTAATTATGACTTTCAGAAACCAAGAACATAAAATGTTTGATGTTTGGAAAAAAGTCCAATTAATATACATAGAAAAGAGTACAACCAGAGTGAATGATCAGAACAATCAATCACTGAGGATGTATTGGTTGAAGGGTATTTAGGGTATAACCCAAAGTAGTAATAAAGAGAGAAGAGACTGGAATGGGTTAACTACAAAAAGTGCTCCCAAAAAACAGTCTCTATACCCTTAATGTAACTGCTCCACCAGTATGAAGCAACAAATTGCTAATCATAGAGAATTAATGGAACTAAAAAAATAAATTTTTATTGACCCCTCTTAGGGGGAAAAAAGATATATATATATAACCAACGTGAAAAGAGTATATACCGTGATAATGACAAAAAATAAATAATAAAGTAAAACAGGTTAATCTGCGATATAAGAAATAATTACACACCGTATCTGATGGCCACTAAAAATAACTGTTTGTCAGCAGCTACTTTATTACAAAGTGTCTGTGGGCCGGCAACATAGGATATGAAGTGTGAACGAAAAAAAGTACAATGTATCCTGTTGGGATAGCAAATACCAGTGAAACTCTTGATAAAGTAACGTGCATATGATTGCACATATAAATATTGTCTAATGAGGATAGCCCCAGCGGATAGATTCACAGTACTTGCTATTATTAGGGGAGCTCCAGAATCGATCGTGTGCAAAAGTAATAAAGTAGCTGCTGACAAACTGTTATTTTTATCGCAGATTAGCAGATGAACCTATTTTACTTTACTTTATTACTTTATTTTATTAGTTAGTTTTTGTCATTATCACGGTATATACACTTTTCACGTTGGTTATATATATATATATGTTTTTTTCCCCTAAGAGGGGTCAATAAAAATTTATTTTTTTTAGTTCCATTAATGCTCTATGATTAGCAATTTGTTGCTTCATATTGGTGGAGCAGTTACATTACGGGTATAGAGACTGTTTTTGGGACCACTTTTTGTAGTTAACCCATTCCAGTCTCTTCTCTCTCAATTAATATACATGATATTATGGATAATAGAAATATAGCATCCCGGATGCACTGCTCGGTCCTGGGACATTGTTTAGTTATGTAAGCTTGGAGAAAGATAAGCAGAGTTGTACTCAAAAATATGGGCACCTCTGGCTAAATAACGTATTATGTGAAAATAATTTAAAATCAACCTCTATAGTGAACAAATGTAAACAACATATTTCTGCAAATCTGAATGCACAGTTATTACTGAATAAAGACAATGTGAAACATACCTCCATTATTCCTATATAATAGGAAAAGGGAGTAAATCTCAGCCCCTTTACCATGATGTCTGACAGGTGGTACGGGTAAAGCATCAGATGGTCTCGGCTGTATTTTAGTAGCTCCTCATAGTATTTCCTTTCATCCTTTTTCACATGTTTCACTGAAAAAAGCAAATTGAGCATATCATGGTTATCACATATTACTGCTAACAGATAAAATACACCAATCAGAAATAAACATATTGAATAAATTACTGCTACCAGATAAAATACACCAATCAGAAATAGACATATTGAATAAATTACTGCTACCAGATAAAATGCACCAATCAGAAATAGACCTATTGAATAAATTACGGCTACCAGATAAAATGCACCAATCAGAAATAGACATATTGAATAAATTACTGCTACCAGATAAAATACACCAATCAGAAATAGACATATTGAATAAATTACCGCTACCGGATAAAATGCACCAATCAGAAATAGACATATTGAATAAATTACCGCTACCGGATAAAATGCACCAATCAGAAATAGACATATTGAATAAATTACCGCTACCGGATAAAATGCACCAATCAGAAATAGACATATCGAATAAATTACTGCTACCAGATAAAATGCACCAATCAGAAATAAACATATTGAATAAATTACTGCTACCAGATAAAATGCACCAATCAGAAATAGACGTATTGAATAAATTACTGCTACCAGATAAAATGCACCAATCAGAAATAGACCTATTGAATAAATTACGGCTACCAGATAAAATGCACCAATCAGAAATAGACATATTGAATAAATTACTGCTACCAGATACAGTGTCCCAATAATAAACATTAAGCAATAACACCTATCCCCATTATACATTGTAACCAGTTCTGCCCATATGGTTTGTAAGGCTACTCTGTGTGTTTCAATGTGTTTTAGATATGCTTTCAGCAGTATTTAAAGATTTTAGTCTGCTTTGTAGAATAAAGTAGATTAAGTTATCGTAAAGGAAAAAAAAATTTTCTTGAGCAAACTGATCTACTCTAGCTCTTTAGAGGACATTTTATTTCACTGTATGCGTTCAGTATATGCAGCAAATCATTGAGGGGCATCAAGCAGCCAGAAAGCAGCTTCCTAAACTATGATTAGCTGGTTGTGGGACAGAGGTGGGTCGTGCACTATAATCAATACTTGGAATCATAGCTCCAACTACCCAACTGCTGGCACACTTAATTTACCCTCTGCCACCAAGCAAAAAGGACATTAAACACACAGTTGTTGCTCTTTACTTCTTGGATTCTTACAGTCTCATTATTTATAATGTAAGTTTGTGTGGGCAGGAACCCTCATTACTTCTGGACTATTTGTCAATTAATTTTCTGTCTTGTTTTATTTTGGTTTACATATGTAAATAGAAATATATAGTTGTATTGTATTGCATCATTGTACTTAATTTTCATTTAGTTTCGAAGAACATCGGAAAGTCAAACGGTTTATAGACGATTGCCAGCTTAGCATATGGCAGGACTATTTTTTTTTTTAAACTGTGCCAGCACCTTTCCCACAGAATCCATGCCAGGACTTTCTTACCTAAATTAATCCTGTATCTCAGCTGGTTTCTGATACTGTACAGGGCGACATGCTTCTCATATTCCTTTTGAGAGTTTCCAAGGCTCTGAAGGAGACAAAATGTTCAGAATAAAACAACACATATCATGGATGATGGATTGCTTTCCAGTAGTGTGCGAAAGGTTAAGTGACCGCTTTCTCCAATTAGACTCCACTAAGAGCCATCATGGAGAGTTATAATGAAATCAAAGGCTTAAATGGACACTATAGTCACCAGAACAACTACAGCTTATTGAATTTGTTCTGGTGAGTAGAATCATTACCTTCAGGCTTTATACTGTAAACACGGTCTTTTCAGAGAAAATGCAGTGTTTACATTACAGCCTAGTGATAACTTCACTGGCCAGTCCTCAGATGGCTGTTAGAGATCCTTCCTGGGTCATGGCTGCCTAAAATGCATCCAAACATTCAGTGTCTCCTCCCTCTGCATGCAGACACTGAACTTTCCTCATAGAGATTCATTGATTCAATTCATCTCTATGAGGAGATGCTGATTGGCCAGGGCTGTGTTTGAATCATGCTGGCTCTGCCCCTGATCTGCCTCTTTGTCAGTCTCAGCTAATCCTATGGGGAAGCACTGTGATTGGATCAGGCTACCACTTCTGATGATGTCAGCAGACTGCTTGTTTTTCTGAGTCAAACAGCATGCAGAGTTACAGCTTCAGGCTTGAATACAGTAAGATGTTTACTATATTTATGGAGGCATGAAGGCCCAGGGGGCTAGATGGTGGTGTTAACACTATAGGGCCAGGAATAGACATTTGTGTTTCTGACCCTTTAGTGACCCTTTAAAGAGCAATTTGCAGTGATAGAGTGCAAGTTAAATGTTATGGTTTTACCAACCCAGGGATAAACAGCCTATGCAATTCTAAACACTTCAGATTACCTGTCCAGTGAGGACTTTAAATTGGCAGAGCATCATGGGGGTTGTAGTTCAGAGAAAATGTAAAGGTCCCTTTCAAGAGCAAATCTGTGCACCTCTTCTGAACTTCATTAAAAATGTGAATATGTTAGAAGTGACAAGGGAATAACTAATTTAACCTGAAATAGCTAAACTGGCATATTTTTCAATTTGGCAAGTTGAGCCTAAAATTTGCAACCACAGTGTTCTCTATAATTCCAATGTCTACAAATCCTAGTATAGGGAACAAACTTCCCAAACATATAGAAACATAGAATGTGACGGCAGATAAAAACCATTCGGCCCATCTAGTCTGCCAAATTTTCTAAATACTTTCATTAGTCCTTAGTCTTATCTTATAGTTAGGATAGCCTTATGCCTATCCCACGCATGCTTAAACTCCTTCACGGTGTTAACCTCTACCACTTCAACGGGAAGGCTATTCCATGCATCAACTACCCTCTCAGTAAAGTAATACTTCCTGATATTATTTTTAAACCTTTTCCCCTCTAATTTAAGACTATGTCCTCTTGTTGTGGTAGTTTTTCTTCTTTTAAATATAGTCTCCTCCTTTACTGTGTTGATTCCCTTTATGTATTCATATGTTTAAACGTTATAGAATTGTGAAAATAAAACAGTCCAACATTAAAAAAAAAAAAATTTCTTTCACATATATTTTTCAGACCGTTTATGCATCTGAACTTATAGGGTTATTCCAAGAACCACAACAACTATAGTGATTTGAAGTGGTTGTGGTGCCCGGAGTCTGTACCGTCTGGATGTAAAACCCTCCACTTATGGAGATTAACCTCTGTGCTGCCAAAGGTGTAACTCTGCCTCTAGCAGCATCACCAGGCTGACTAAGTCCCATGCACAGAATTGCAATCATTGGCTGAGAGCAGTCAGCTGACTCATTACTGAGAAGCGGGCCTCGGTACTCCTCACAGCAGGCTGTAGTCCTTGTAATGCTTGAGTAACTCATTAAAATGTCTTGATTTCTGTGTCTGGAATCACAGAAATTGAATCTTCCTGTGTTATAGAATGTGTTACAGGTATTCTCTCTCTCTCTCTCTCGCTCTCGATCTGTGCTGCAAGGCATTGCAATAAAATAAGACTAGCTTATTAAACTGATAATTTCACATTTGCAAACTTTTATGTCTTACTAAAATTCTACTGTTAAAATAAAAGGTTCTGCTACTTGGCATTGTGACAAATATATATAAGAATTTTTTTTTTTTAAAGTACCGGCAGATTTATTTTGAAAAATAAAATATCAAATTTAAAATCCATGACTAAATGTAAACAATAAACTGGATAACTCGCTGAACAATGCATTGAAAACAATCAGGAAGCAGTAGCCAACGGGTGATTATTGCCCAGTTATAGAATGTTATTCTAGATCCGCTGTTTTGGCCTAATTTCCATTTTAAATTCACTGTTAATTTATATATAAATAAAAAAAATAATTATGATATAAAAGCAGATACCGGTATATATCCAGTAAATGTGATGTAACCCATAAACACACTTACTGCAAATGGCATTATATACATAATCAATATAGAAATAAAAATTATTAAAGCGGCACTATCATGGCCGAATCCTGTTTTTTGTTTTTTTTAACCCTCCTCCCGACTCCACTACATCTAACTGACTCCTTAGTCACCCCCAAATGCCCCTAAGCCCCCCATATTACCTATTTTTTATTCTTTATTTTCTGCCCCGACCTATATTCAGGGCGCCACCATCTTTGTGTGGGTAGATGCAGTGCCTGTGGGACACGTCATCTGCCCACACTAGATAGCACTGTGAGATTCCCGCACATGCCCAATGAAACACTTGGACATGCGAACAGGATTTTCATCTATTCATTCATTAGTCTGAAAGACTGTGCTCCCCGCCACTTCCTAAACCCCCCATGCCTCCCTTCACTCTATGGGGGGCAATATGACCCCCATTATAGCATAAGGGAGATTAAAATTTCCTGAATGCCCCTACTCGCTATACCGTGAGTAGGGGCATGTCCACTAAACAGTGAGCCTGTGGCTGCTCACTGTTAAAAAAACAAACAAAAAAAAACCTACTATCCGGCCCCCACCCCTGCGCGGTGGGTGGGGGCCATAAATTACAATGGGGGGGACCTACCCTTGAGCGATAAAGATAATGAGAGGGGAGGACCTACTGTCCTACCTCTGGCTCCCCCCACCCTTGAGCGGTGGGTGGGGGCCATAAAGATAATGAGGGGGGAGGACCTACTGTCCTCCCACCGGGCCCCACCCCTGCGCAGTGCATGGGAGCCATAAATTACAATGGGGGGACCTACTGTCCTGCCCCCGGCCCCCACCCCTGCGCGGTGGGTGGGGGCCATAAATTACAATGGGGGGACCTACTGTTCTCCCCCCCCCCCGGCCCCGACCGGCGGGTGGTGGCCCTAAGACAAATCGCCCCCCATCAAAGGTGACTAGGGGTCCCCCACCCCAAAAAAAGTTACCACCTACCTAGACCCCTCACCCTAAAAAATAGTGAGGAGGGAATAAAATAACTAACATGTAAAGAAAAATTAAACTTACCATTTGACGTCTTCTTTTTTCTAAAATCTGCATTTTTCAGCCCCAAAATAGGCCAAATAAAAAAAAAAAATCACACCCGAACTTAAAATAAAAAATCCGAGCGCAAAAAAATAATCAATCTTCACCCATGGAGGGCTCCGCACAGACTAAGCTCTGCAGGGCGGGGGAAAGCTTATAAAGCTTTGCCCCGCCCTGCAATTAGGCTAAGAAACCTCTGATTGGCTGGTGTAAGCCAATCAGAGTGCTCTGTCATTTTACAAAGCATGGGAAAATTGCAAAGAACTTTCCCACGCTGTGTAAAATGACACAGAGCAATCTGATTGGGTGACTTGAAATCCATCCAATCACAGTGCTTTGTGTCATTTTACACAGCGTGGGAAAGTTCTTTGGAATTTTCCCACGCTGTGTAAAATGACAAAGAGCACTCTGATTGGTTAGATTCCAAGCCCACCAATCAGAGTGTTATGAGTCAAATTACACAGCGTGGGAAAAGTCGAACAAAGTGCCGAATCGAGTTCTAAAACAAACGAACATACTGTTCTCATTCAGTTAGAACGCAATTCGGCAGTTTCGTCTAAAATGACAGGAAGCATCGCAGGAACACTGAGGAAAGGTAAGAATTATGGGTAAATTGCTCTGACCAGCGGAAATGAAGCACACTTTGCTCCTCCGCTGGTCAAAGCTGGTCAAGCGGCGGAATCCTCCATAAGGTAAAGAGTCCCTACTTTGTCTTATGATTTTAAAGAAAACTAAAGAAGACAGGAAGAAAAGAAGAAGAAGAACAGATCCTGAGAGAGAGGGGAGAAGAGGAAGAGATTGAGGAAAGGTAAGTTCGGCATGACAGTGCCGCTTTAAGCATTTCAACAAACAGTCCCTTTGTGCGATATGTTGACAAGCAACTCTTTTTGTTGCTTTGAGCTATGGAATTCTCATTTTTCATGTGTCAGGGAAGAGCTATGTCCTTTCACGTGATCAGGTTTCTCTCTGTATATTGATTATTGCAGCACGCGCATGCCAGAGGGCTCTCCAAATTACTGTCAGAATGAATTCACACGTCTGTTCTTAAAATGGAAAAATGGCACATACATTTTGAGCCTTTAGGATTATCCTATAGGAGTGGCCCTAAAATAGATTTGGGGCTACTGCAGAATTACAACTCGCAAGATACTTTGACAGACCCAGAAAAAAAAAGCCTGGACCTGTTGATGCAACTAAATTCATGTCAACCTTAAATTGTCACTCTAAATGCCATAACCCCTACAGCCTGCTTGCTTATTGTGTCAGCATACCCAGTTCTCAGGATCTGTGTCAAAGCATTATTGAGTGGTCTGCCACAAACCAATAATCCCCCAAATCCTATGGTACAGCCCCTCTCGCAGCATGTTGTTATTGAAGAAGTTAGACTTTCGCATTAGCAAGATCAATATTAAGCAAATCTGGATGACATTAATAGGGGATTTCACCATGACATCACAACAATCTTCCGGGTGGCAAAAGTCATAGCATTCTCCGATGAAAGCTGCAGGCAGTGACTCTGGAGGAGCGTGGCTGTCGGGTCTCCTGTCATGGGTCCAGTTCTGAGTGTCTATGTGAGCTGTATGTAGGGCAGGGTGGGGTGTTAGGAGATCACTCACACTGAGTGTCTGGTACCGGGGAGAGTGAGTGCATGCTCAGCCCACACTCAGCCAGGACTGTCGGTATGTGAAGAGATTGGTGCCAACTGTGTGCTGCTATAGAGGACGTGAGGATGGCTGACAGTGATAGGGGTTATCATAGTGTCTGTATTAGGGGTGGCATGGCAGTATGTAAGAAGTGGATTGCCAGCTGTGTCCTGGTATGGTGGATGGCTTGCAGCGATAAGGGGTTTCACAGTGGCTGTATTGGGATCGGAAAGAGGGGATGGCTGGCAGTGATAGGAGTGTATCACAGTGTTGTACCTTTTGCAACACCGGCTGCCTGAATTAGTATAAGGGTTAGTTGCCTCCCCAGCTCCCTGACACAGCCTGTGTTTTTTCTCACCTGGGGGTTGGGCGGTGGGGTGTGGGGTGCTGTACAGTCACATTAAAGTTGGTTCACACAGGATGGAATTTGTACACATAAAGCCATGCTGTGAGCCTGCTGCAGATCTGACAGTCTATTGTGAGGAGAATGTCAGTGGAAGCCACTTGCGTTCTGCCACCCGGAAGTATCTTGGTGCCCATTGTTTACAAACATTTTGAAATGCCGTATTGGCTTAGTATGTCCACTGCCAATGAATGTCATCCACGGAAAGTCTGAACTGATATTGCTAATGTGAAATTTTAACTTCTGCTATATTGCTGGCAAGGGGCGAAGCCATGGGCATCCTAGAGGTGCTTCGTTTTAACAAACAGCTTTAAAAAACACTGACATAGAAACATGGAACAGTACCAGTGCATGCTGACACCATAACCACTAGTGCGCTACCCCTTTAAGGTGAACCTGCGGTTAGCTGTGCAGCACTTCAAGGATTTTTTCACTAAACAACAAATTGTAGTGGGCTGAAAACTAAGTTTGCGTTAAAATTTCAAGCCACCCTTTCCCTTCACATAGCCATTACTAGATTTCTCCCTTCTGTTTTCCACTCTTGTCTAATTAGTGACAATAGCGAGTATATACTTCCTAATGCACATGGCATGTCTATGCTTCAGTCACCTGTATGAGATTATGGCCATATCAAGTATTTTACAATGTTTGTTCACCTCCTATGTTACAATTCTCTTTAAATAGTGCCATCAATAAATAAGCTAAAGTAGCAAAGATGCGACTTTAGTAAAGTATGAATCTTTTATTTAAATCTGCAAATTTATGCCTAAATTTAGCAATTTAGTTTTCAATTTACTACAAGTCAGTGTGTTACTGAATAAGCATCTTCGATTATCATTCTGTAGGTACTAATGAGAAAATGCAAAAACCATAATCACTACAGGTGAGTTTATTGATAGTGACGTAAAAAATCATTGGGCGCCGCCTCCCTTAATTTTTGTTAAACTGTTAGCGAACAGTTAGCCCAAAACAGGAACTCCACCAGGAGTCTGTGCCCTCTCAATGCAGAATTTACCCAGTAACAAAATAGGCTGAAAGAAAGGAGATATTACTTTGTCAGTTCTTGTTAATTCCAATTTTAGAGAACACCTCCAACATTAAACTTGACAGTAATAGACAATTACCACGCAATTAATTTGACATGAAAAGCGCGAGTGGTTATTAACCTTGACATTTACGTGATATTAGATTCTTAAATTGCACAATTATTTTTTTGACCAATTCTTCAAACTGTACTGGAATAGATATTAAATAATTCTACAATAAACCTTCTCTGATTTCTTCCCAATGTCAAATGTGTCTTCATATCAATGGGAAAGGGTACAAGACTATAGTTGTCTGGGACTTATTGAATTTGATGAGCCAAATGCAACCACTATCGGTCTATTAAAATAAAATGTGGCCACAGTTTTGACAGAAACAGGTCTAAATGCATTTGGTTTGATTGACAGCCAATTAGGTTAGATACAGTTAGATTGCCAGATAAAGGACTAGATACAATCACTTTCAAAAGCAAGATGTGCAGATAATTTGACAGGAAGAACAGCCGGCATGTAAGACTAGATACAGACAGTGACTGACAGGAAACAGGATAGACCGTTAGATTAGAAATTATAGATACAAACACTGTACTGAATACTAGATCTGAAGACCGTCTGTTAGCCGGGAAACTATCCAACCACAGTGAGTCTGACATTAAATAGGAAACACGCAGCAGTTTTGGCACGACTGAATGTTTCATAGTGAACAAAGCAGCGAGCAGATGTGATGAATGACTAATAAAAGGGAGGAGGAGAAGAATTGATTAGGTATGAGATTTAGGACAATCATAGACCAAATAAAAACACACAGCCCAGGACATCGATCTTATAGCAACTGGGTGACAGAGGCCACGAGGAGGCAGGGTGAGGGGTTGTGGAGTAAAACAGCACTGACAGGTCAGAGATAACAGTTTGATGGTAAACATTTAGAGAGAGGCAATGAAAACAGGTCAAACATTGTGGCAGATATCAACACTAATAAGAGATGCACGGAAACATAAAGCCTAATGGGACAAACTCCAGAAAAGGACAGTGCTAAGGACAGAAACAGCGCGATAGGGCAAAAAAAATACAATGTAACTAGGTAACCGGGGGACAGAAAACAGAAAATGTATTCCATACTTACCAATATTTTCTTTTCCTGTGGCAGCACTACAGATAGGTTTTCCGGTCCAATTTAATAGTGGTAGGTGCTATACCTAACTAAACTATAAAAAAAAAAAAAGACTCCATCACCGACATCCTCAGTCTTCATAACAAGCAACAAACAAAGAAAGGAGTGTAGTACTCCATGGCCTATATAAAGGAAGAACGGAATACAATTTCTGTTTTCCCAATTAACAGAAGAGAGGGAGAACAAAAGGAAACCAAAAAAACAAAAAGTCATGATGTCAAAAGAAAGAATGTTTTTTAGAAACTCAATTACAAGGTAGTTGAAATGACACTACCTCCTGAAAAAATGCAGAGCTAGACGATCTGGCCAAGTCTAAACGGTAATGATTGATAAAGGTGTTAAATGAGTGCCAAGTTGCTGCTGAATAAATGCGGCCAGGAGGAACATTAGCTGCAGCTTCCCCTGAAGAACCCAAAGATCTTGTAAAATGAGCATGAAGACCCATGGAATCGGAACTCCCGAGCTTGGTAAGCCTGGAAAATTGCTGAGATGATCCATCGAACAATGGACATGGTAGAAGCAGCCTAGCCCAACATATGTCCAGATGGAATAATAATAAGAGGAGATGTCTTTATGGTGTTAGAAGTGTGGTAATCTGAGAGACAATGAACTAGGTACAAACAATGCCAATTTGCCGCCTCCTCTTCTGATGAAAGATGGGGGGGGGGGGGAGGAGGTGAATGCATGTAAGAGAATATCATGATTGACATGGAAGGACAAAACCACTTTGGGGCAAAATGCTGGAACATTCTGCAATATGGCCCTATCTCCCTGAAGAATCAGAAATGGAGATTTACATAAAGAGCCTGAAGCTCCAAAATCCTTGTATCCGAAGTAATGGCAACCAGTAGAATTGTCTTCAGAGACAATGTAGGTTGGGAAATGTCCTCCAGGGGTTTAAAGAGAGGGCCAGATAAGGCCTGGAAGGGTCCCGGAGAGAGATCAAAACTTTAAAAAAATCTACCAATATCTGAGTCGAAGGCAATCCAATAACACGAAAATAGATGAGAATTGGACTTATAGGGAACTAAGACTCAGTCCCTTGTCAAATCCATCCTGGAGAAAATAAAAAATGCTGCTAATCTCAGGTGACTGAGGAGGAACATTATAATGAACCCACCAGTCACAAAACATTTCCACAAATGCGATAATAGGCCGGAATATTTCTTCTTTGCTCTGAGCAAAGTATCAATGACTGATATAGAGAAGTTTTTTTTTTTTTTTGTTTTTTTTTAAGAGGCACTGCCTCTCAATCTCCATACCATTAGTTTCAAGGACTGGTATGCAGGATGGAACACAAGGCCTTGATGCAATATGAGTTGCTCTGTACAACAAGTTTAACAGGCATCCGTTGTCATCATTAACCCCTGAATCTGGCCCAGAGGAAATCCCAAATAAAGACTGCCATCATCCAACGAGTTCTTTTTTGACCTTGGAGATTATGAAGCTCCTTTGGTTCAGGTTCTGGTTTGAAAGCTGTTATAGGAGCTCTTTTTGAGGTATCCTCATATGCCACTGAGACTATTTTGAAAGCCCTGTTGTAGAGGCCAGACTCGCCAGAAATTCTCTTGCTGGGATCAAGAGGGATGAAGCAAAAAATCTTTAACTGGTTCCTTTGTGCTCTGTCCTGAGATAAGGACTGGATGTGCGAAACCTTGCACCCAGACAGACCATCACTTAAGATGGGGAAAGCTGTCTTTTCTTGGGTTTGATAAGCCAACCGAACCTCTGGAGAATGTGAAGAATTCAATCCTGATGAGCAAGAAGTTGATACTTGTTGCAGTACAGAACTAGAATGTCGTCCAGGTAATAATCGATGAAAATGCCCTCCAGTCAAATGTGAGATATTATTTTATATAATGTTCTGTGAGCAATTAAGACCAAAAGGAGAGAACTTGGACCTGGTAATGCTGATGGGGCAAGGGCAATATGAATATGAAAATAAGCATCTCAGAAGTCTATAGAAACCATCCAATACCCTGGAGAGATGACTGATAATGGAACTGACTGTTCCATCTAGAATCTTCTTACAAACAATTACCCATTGAGTTTGTGAAGATTCAGAATTGGTCTAGGTTCTCGGATGCCTTTTTTTTTGGTCAAAATAAGTCTTGACTAACAACACAATCCTCTTTTTTCAAAAGCAATAGGGCAAATTACTCCTTTTGCAAAGAGGGAGGTCGTGAAGAGATTAAGAGCTTTTGCCTTCTCTGGTTCTTCAGGAACCTGGGTTGTTAGAAATTGAGGACGAGGGATGGTAGAGAATTCCAGAAAATATCACTTGCTTAGAATTTTTAAAACCCATTTGTCAAATTCGAACTGGGACCTCAGAAACGTTGAGATGTTTTGCTCCCACTATCAAGGATTGTGCTGGAGCCCTATCAGAATTGCTTCTGAAGAAAATACTACTTTTTGAAGAGGAGAAACCTCCCTTCCATGTCTGTGATCTGTAAAATCCTTTACCAGGTTTGCAATTTCTGTAATCCTTGTCCCGAAAGGACTGTGAATCCTGAGGAATACATTTTCTAGGGCATCTATCCTGGGATAAAATACCCTTTTTCTGCAGCTGTCCAGATGTTTTCCAAAAAGAATAAGCCCTTGTAATGGAAGTAGATATCCAGAAAGAAAAAAACAACACGAAGCCAGAAGAAAGTATGTAATAATAGAAAATAATATGGCTATATACAGTGTATAACCAATAATATTATCCATACCAGTACTTATGTTTAGCAGAACCATGTAGGGCAGTGTTTCCTAACCCAATCCCCAGGGACCACCAACAGTCCAGGATTTATGTATTTCCCTGTTTTATGCCAATGAAGATAATGACAAAACCTGGACTGTTGGTGGTCAATGAGGACTGTGTTGGGGAACACTGATGTAGTCTCTTGTATTGTTTAATTAAGCGGTGCTCCTGTCCAATTTAGGAGTGGGAGGTGCTATACCCATCTGTAGTGCTGCCATGCATCTATCCGGTACACAGTGTGTCAGCGCATAAGACAATATAATTGGGCATGATCTGGAAAGGGGCACTTTGACATGTCAAAAAACTAGAACAAAACAATAAAATGCATCACATACACTGTGACAAATAAAGACAGACTATTATGTATCCTACGTATATGTGCTCACCTGTTTCACGTTTGCTGGTAGTTTGGCCCATGGGTAGTTTTGTCTGATGTGAAACTCTACGTCAATATTCATGATGCTTCCTGGGACCAGGCAGCAGGACCCTGCACCTCAGCATTTATTTATTACACCCCCAGAGTCTACATGTATTTATTACACCCCTAATGTTTTGCATGTATTTCTTAGAACTGCATGTAGTTATTACAGCTCTAGAGTATTACATGCATGTATCACACCTCTTAATGCTGCATGAAATAAACGTCAAAATCTTACTGTATTTATCCAACCAGCACATCCACTTAATTAGATTCTCAATTTATAGCATGCCCTGATCTGCATTTATACATACATAATATATATATATTTTGCACCACCAGATTGTGCATGTATCTATCAACCTTCCAGAACCTGGATGTATTTATTTATTAAAACTGAAGATTCTGGGTGTATTTCTCAGGATTCCAGAATCAGAATGTTAACATTACACCTCCAGATTCTAAATGTATTTATCACAGACCCTGATAAACCACCAGACCCAGGCTGTGTCTCTCAGGATCACATACATTCAATGTCTATATGACACCTTTAACTCTCTGTATTAACTCCTGCAGGAGTCCAGCCCCCACTCCATGTACATATAGAGGAGGTCCCCCCTCTAGCAGCCCCTCTCCCTCATTAATGACCCCCCCTGTCCAGCTGTGGCCCTCCAGCCCCGGTTACCCTGGCTGATCACCCCTCTACCTAGCTGCCCCCGGTTACCAGGACTCTGGCTAACTTGCTGTCAGTCGGTAGGAAGTTACTTCCTCATTGTCAGGTGGGCGGGGACAGTAGACTCTGACGCCACATCCGGTGAAGCCGAGGTGGTGACGTAGCGGTACTGGCAAGGGTTACCGCAATGCATTGTGGGCTGCACCTGCTTGCTCTCCGTTACTATAGTGAAATGACGTCATACTCTGATACCGAGACTGCATTGGCCATGTTGCTAAGACTGCTCCGGTCCCGACAGAATAGCAATGTGAATGTAGTGTACAAAGGTAGACAGTCAGATAGAATACACAGACAGAGCAACAAACAGAGATAATACAGAGGCAGAGAGAATACACAGACAGAGAAACAAACAGAGAGAATACAAAGGCAGAGAAACAAACAGAGATAATACAGAGGCAGAGAGAATACACAGACAGAGACAAACAGAGAGAATTCAGAGGCAGATAGAATACACAGACAGAGAAACAAACAGAGAGAATACAGAGGCAGAGAGAATACACAGACAGAGAAACAAACATAGATAATACAGAGGCAGAGAGAATACACAGACAGAGACAAACAGAGAGAATACACAGACAGAGAAACAAACAGAGAGAATACAGAGGCAGAGAGAATACACAGACAGAGAAACAAACATAGATAATACAGAGGCAGAGAGAATACACAGACAGAGACAAACAGAATACAGAGAAAGAGACAAACAGAGAGAATGCACAGACAGAGACAAACAGAGAGAATACACAGACAGAGACAAACAGAGAGAATGCACAGACAGAGAAACAAACAGATATAATACAGAGGCAGAGAGAATACACAGACAGAGACAAGCAGAGAGAATACACAGACAGAGAAACAAACAGAGAGAATACAGAGGCAGAGAGAATACACAGAGAGAATACAAAGGCAGAGAAACAAACAGAGATAATACAGAGGCAGAGAGAATACACAGACAGAGACAAACAGAGAGAATACACAGACAGAGAAACAAACAGAGAGAATACAGAGGCAGAGAGAATACACAGACAGAGAAACAAACAGAGAGAATACAGAGGCAGAGAGAATACACAGACAGAGAAACAAACATAGATAATACAGAGGCAGAGAGAATACACAGACAGAGACAAACAGAGAATACATGACAGAGAAACAAAACAGAGAGAATACAGAGGCAGAGAGAATACACAGACAGGAGAAACAAACATAGATGGGCTACAGAGGCAGAGAGAATACACAGACAGAGACAAAACAGAGAGAATGCACAGACAGAGAAACAAACATAGATAATACAGGAGGCAGAGAATACACAGACAGAGACAAACAGGAATAAGTGAGAAAGAGACAAACAGAGAGAATGCACAGACAGACAAACAGAGAGAATACACAGACAGAGACAAACAGAGAGAATGCACAGACAGAGAAACAAACAGATATAATACAGGAGGCAGAGGGAATACACAGACAGAGACAAACAGAGAGAATGCATGGTGACAGAGAAAACAAAACAGATATAGACAAAGACAAAAGGAATACACAGACAGAGACAAACATAGATAATACAGAGGCAGAGAAACAAACAGAGAGAATACACAGACAGAGAAACAAACAGAGAGAATACAGAGAGAATACACAGACAGAGATAATACAGAGGCAGATAGAATACACAGACAGAGAAACAAACAGAGAGAATACAGATATAATACACAGACAGAGAAACAAACAGAGATAATACATAGGCAGAGAGAATACACAGACAGAGACAAACAGAGAGAATACACAGACAGAGAAACAAACATAGATAATACAGAGGCAGAGAGAATACACAGACAGAGACAAACAGAGAGAATGCACAGACAGAGAAACAAACATAGATAATACAGAGGCAGAGAGAATACACAGACAGAGACAAACAGAATACAGAGAAAGAGACAAACAGAGAGAATGCACAGACAGAGACAAACAGAGAGAATACACAGACAGAGACAAACAGAGAGAATGCACAGACAGAGAAACAAACAGATATAATACAGAGGCAGAGTGAATACACAGACAGAGACAAACAGAGAGAATGCACAGACAGAGAAACAAACAGATATAATACAGAGGCAGAGAGAATACACAGACAGAGACAAGCAGAGAGAATACACAGACAGAGAAACAAACAGAGAGAATACACAGACAGAGAAACAAACAGAATACACAGACAGAGCAACAAACAGAGATAATACAGAGGCAGAGAGAATACACAGACAGAGAAACAAACAGAGATAATACAGAGGCAGAGAGAATACACAGACAGAGAAACAAACAGAGATAATACAGAGGCAGAGAGAATACACAGACAGAGAAACAAACAGAGATAATACAGAGGCAGAGAGAATACACAGACAGAGAAACAAACAGAGAGAATACACAGACAGAGACAAACAGAGAGAATACACAGACAGAGACAAACAGAATACACAGACAGAGACAAACAGAGAGAATACACAGACAGAGACAAACAGAATACACAGACAAAGAGATAGAGAAGAAACAAGCAGAGAGAATACACAGACAGAGACAGAGAGAGAGAATACACAGACAGAGACAAACAGAGAGAATGCACAGACAGAGAACGAGAGAATACAGAGACAAATAGAATACACAGACAGAGAGACAGATAGAGAAGAAACAAACAGAGAGACAGATAGAGAAGAAACAAACAGAGAGAATACACAGACAGAGACAGAGAGAATACAGAGGCAGAGAGAATACACAGACAGAAAGACAGATAGAGAAGAAACAAACAGAGAGAATACACAGACAGAGAGACAGATAAAGAAGAAACAAACAGAGACAGAGAGAATACACAGACAGAGAGACAGATAGAGAAGGAACAAACAGAGAGAATACACAGACAGAGAGACAGATAGAGAAGAAACAAACAGAGAGAATACACAGACAGAGACAGAGAGAATACAGAGGCAGAGAGAATACACAGACAGAAAGACAGATAGAGAAGAAACAAACAGAGAGAATACACAGACAGAGAGACAGATAAAGAAGAAACAAACAGAGACAGAGAGAATACACAGACAGAGAGACAGATAGAGAAGGAACAAACAGAGAGAATACACAGACAGAGAGACAGATAGAGAAGAAACAAACAGAGAGAATACACAGACAGAGACAGAGAGAATACAGAGGCAGAGAGAATACACAGACAGAAAGACAGATAGAGAAGAAACAAACAGAGAGAATACACAGACAGAGAGACAGATAAAGAAGAAACAAACAGAGACAGAGAGAATACACAGACAGAGAGACAGATAGAGAAGGAACAAACAGAGAGAATACACAGACAGAGAGACAGATAGAGAAGAAACAAACAGAGAGAATACACAGACAAAGGCAAACAGACATAATACACAGACAAAAAGACAGAGAAGAAACAGACAGAATACACAGACAAAGAGACAAACAGAGAGAACAGACAGGTAGGATAGGTAGACAGAGAGAACAGACATGAAAGGACGGGTAGACAGGCAGGACAGATGGAGAGAGAGAGAATAGACTGGCATGATAGGCAGAAAGAGAGAGTAGACAGGTAGGATAGGTAGAAAGAGGGAATAGACTGACAGGATAGATGGAGAGAGAGTATAGACTGGCAGGGTAGGTAGGCATAGAGAATAGACAGGCAGGATAGATTGAGAGAGATAGAATAGACTGGCAGGATAGACAGACAGACAGAATCGACTGGTAGGATAGATAGACAGACGGGCAGAGGGAATATACAGGATAGATAGAGACACAGAAAGAGAAGAGACAGACACAGAATAGACAGGCAGGATAGATAGGTAGACAGTGAGAATATATGAGTAGGAATAAAAAGACAGACTTAGAGAATATACAGTCAAAATGAATAGAAAGGGAGGATAGGTAGGTAGACAGAGAGAGAATAGACATGATGGACAGATAGACAGACATATATAGAGAATAGACAGGCAGGATGTATAGACAGAGAGAATAGACAGGCAGGAAAGATAGACAGACAGAGAATAGACATGCAGGATAAATAGACTACAAGAAACAATTATAAAATAGAGAATAGACAGTCTAGATAGATTGATAGACAGGCAGGATAGGTAGATATACATACATATAGAATAGACTGTCAGGATAGATATAGATAGATAGATAGACAGACAGACAGGATAGGTAAACAGAAATGCAGGATAGGTAGGATAGATTGACAAAATGAATAGACAGACAAAAGGAATGTACAGGCCGGATAAATAGGTAGGAAAGGTATACAGATATAATACGCTGGATAGGTAGGTAGATAGAGAGGAGAGAATAGATATGATAGATAGGTAGACAAAGAGAGATAAAAGGCCGGATTGGTAAGTAAACAGAAAGAACAGACAGGCAGGATAGCAAGACAGACAAACAGAATAGTCAGAATAGATAAGTTAAGTTTTTATAGTGAAATTATAACTACATTTCACATGATAGTAAGTCAGTCTCAAGACCATTAGGGTATCATGGAAAACGCAGTCCAGAAATATCTAAGGTATAGAGAAAAAGGATTGATCTATCTATTTTTCAGATGTATGTACACTGCATTTCTCATGAAAATCTGTTGGACTTTAAAGCGGCACTGTCATGCCGAACTTACTTTTACCCAATGGATTCCTCTTCTCTCCCTCTCTCAGGATCTGTTATTTATTTCTTCCTGTCTGCTCTAGTTTTCTTTAAAAAAGTAGGGACTATTTATCTTATGGAGGTTTCCTACGCAGTGACCAGCGGAGGACCAAAGTATTCTTTGTTTCCGGTGGTCACAGCAATTTTCCCACAATCCTTACCTTTCCTCCCTGTCCCTGCGATGCTTCCTGTCACTTAGGCAGGACGCCGGCAAAACTGCCGAATTGCGTTCTAACAGTTTCTCTATTCGTGTTAGAATGCAATTCGGGACTTTGTTCGTATCGGAATTTCATTCGAATGAATGAAACTCCGATCCTATTCATTGCCGCGGCTGCATTTTGCAGCCGCTTAGTAGATAACTCCCTAATTCT